GTGGAGTGGCTCAAAGTGAAGGCCCCGAGTTCAAGACCCAGTACCACAAAGAAAAAAAAAAAAGGTATGTGTATTTTATTTTTATTGATTTTTTTTTTTTTTGTGGTACTGGGACTTGAACTTAGGGCTTACACCTTGAGCCACTCCACCTGCCTTTTTCTGTGATAGGCTTTTCTGAGGTAGGGTCTCTAGGACTGTTTGTCTGGGCTGGCTTCTTCGAACCCTGATGCTCCTGATCTCAACCTCCTGAGTAGCTAGGATTACAGGAATGAGTCACCAGCATTTTAAAAATCATTTTTGATGGATATTGTCAAATCACAAGGCTGTACACTCCTGCCAGCAGCATTGTATTGGGTGTCTCTTCATTGCATTCGTGTGTGTGTGTGTGTGTGTGTGTGTGTGTGTACCAAGCAACAACGAATATCACTCCCATATGGGGCTCAGAGAACATTCTCACAGCTGATATCTCCAAAGGCAGACTGAGGTCGTTGTCTTTCCTCTCCTTCACCCTCCCCCAAAGCAGATGAACCAGGCTTCCTGCCAAGTTTATCTCCTCTCTTGAATCCATCCTTCTTTCTCCTCTCCTCACTCTGCCTGTGCCCAGTTCAGGCCTTCATCTTCCGTCTTGAGGGCTGTGAGTATCATTTAGTTTCCAACATGCAATCACCAGGTCTTGCTCAGAGTCCCTCAGGGTCAAATTCCTAAAAGAAAAACCCCTGGTCCGGTTTCGGATCTGCATTAACTACCTCCTCCTGCTTTCCATAGCCTCATTTCCCAAACTCCCCCCCCCCAATCCCACCCTACTTGGGAGCCATTCCACCCCTTTTGTCCCTTCCCACACTGCCTGCTGTGGCCAGCTGCTGTGGCCAGCTCTCCCAGTGAGTCTGGGAGGTTCTCACGCAGGCTGCCTTCCAGACTCCTTTTTTTCCAAAAGCTTCTGAGCTTCACTTCAGTAGGGGCCCAATCCCCCTGGGACTGCCCTGTAGGGCTGAGTGTTCCCTGCACACTTTCCTGCCTTCCAAGATCTCTCACACCGCGTCGGCATGCCAGGGTGGAAACCCTCCATCCATTCCCCTTTCTTTCTCCACTTGAGGTGTTGTGATGCGTTTTGCAGGGATCTGATTCTTGTGAGCGGAAGTAAGCAGGTATTTGAATTGTGATAGATGTACCTATGCTTTCACAGCACTAACTCCATTTTGAGCTTTGGCTGTAACACGCTGTAACTGAGTCAAAGGGCAGGCTGAGAGCTACCTTGTGGACAACAGAGTGCTAATATGCAAATGAGATACTTGGTGACCAGAATTTTTCTCTCCAAAATTAACATCCGGAAGTTGGGATGATACACTTTCTGGGATTATAAATGCTAATGCCTTCAGGCTGTCATTTGAGAGAAATCTCACTGTGAGTCAACTCTGCCCAGTGAAAAGTCCTTGCTTCATTGCTGGTGACTTGATGGCATTCTGGGCCCTTTAGTGTCACTGTCAGTTTGAAAGAAATGATCTGCATTTGGACAATTTCTTCCATGGACACACGAAATTTAGTTCATTACTTGTACTCTGTTTTTGAGTGATTTTCTTTTACTTTTTTTTCTCTTTATTCATATATTCATACGTACATACATTGTTTGGGTCATTTCTTCCCCCTGCTCCCCTCCCTCTCCCCTCCTTTTACTTATTTTTGCCTGTATATTCATATACTTCTTTTGCTTATTTTTCTCATTGTTTCTGTGTGCATTGCAATAAGCCAATTAATTCTGGAACCAACCTTGTTTTGTTTGGCATGTCTTTTTTTTTTTTTTTCTGACAGGATTGGGATTTGAACTCAAGAGCTTTGCACTTGCAAAGCAAGCACTCCAGTTCATTTTGCTCTGCTTATTTTGGAGATAGGATCTCTTGAACTATTTGCCTGGACTGGCCTTAAACCCTGATTCTCACAATCTCAGCCTCCCAAGTAGCTAGGATCACAGGCATGAGCCACTGGTGCCAATCAGTGTGTCATTTGATTGAGAGTTTGCCCCTCTTGGAGGAATTGTGATTCTTGAGGTTAAATTTTTGCCAGTTTTGGGGAATTGGAACACCTTCAACATGACAAATTAGCACTATAAACAGAGTATTTTGCTTAAATCTGAATTGGGACAAGCAGAATTTTAGACTCTGATCAGAAAGTCACTAAGTGCTCTTTATGAACTCTTCAAGGGTGAAGCAATCAGCAGTGGCAGCTCCTCAGGGTTCAGTACTCCTCACCCCCAGTACTACCTCTCAGTACTACCTCTCAGTACTCAGGTCATTCATCTGTGTAATGTTTACTTCTCATTGCCTGCCCTATTGATGGGGACATGGTCTCCATTGAGGGATCATACTGAAGTTCTGGAGATCTCAATTTATTGGAGGCAGAAGCATGAAGAACATCACCTCACTGAGGGAATCACAGCAGGAAATGAGGAATTTTACTATGAGAACAAGCAATTCATGACACTTCTGTATAAAATACTATCAGATTTTTTTCAGCGCTAGGGGTCAAACCCCAGGACTCAGGCATACTAGGCAAATGCTTTACTATTCAACTACACCTCAACCCCTACTATTGGGGATTTTAACAGAAGCTATCAAAGACACACCAAGAAGTCAGGTATGATGTCTCATGCTTATAATCCCAGCATGTAGGAAGTGTGGGCAGGAGGATTGCAAGTTGGAAGTCTGCCTCAAAAAACAAACAACAAAAACAGAATAAATTATTTCTTAAAAAAAAAGTCAGATGCTAGTGGCTCAAGCCTGTAATCCTAGCTGATCAGGAGGATCTTGGTTTGAAGCCAGCTGGGGCAGTAGTTTATGAGACCCAATCCCAAAAAATACCCAACTCAAAAAAAGGGCTGGTGGAGTGGCTCAAGTGGCAAAGCACCTGCCTAGCAAATGTGAGGGCCTGAGTTCAAGTCCCAGTACCACCAAAAAAATAATAAGCTAAGACATAAATGCTTGTGGCTATACTATAGAAACTTTATCTTACCATTTATTTTTTGGTGGTGCTGGGTTGTGAACTCAGGGCCTTGATCTTGCAAGGCAGGCGCTCAACTGCTTGAGCCACACCTCCAGTTCACCTTCTTCTAGTTATTTTGGAAATAAGGTCTTGAAACTATTTGCCTGGGCTGGCCCAAACTTTGATTCTCCCCATCTCAGGCTTTTAAGTAGCCAGAATTACAGGCTTGAGCCACTGCCACCTGGCTCTATCTTACCTTTTTTTTCTGGTAATACTATGGATTGGACTCGGCCTTCAAGGCAAGCATGCTCTACTGCTTGAGCCACACCCCTCATCCTTTTATTTTAGTCTATTTTTCAGATAGGGTCTGGGCTAACTTTGCTTCCAACCTCCAACCTCCCGAGTAGCTGGGACCATAGGTTTGGGTCACCACACCCGCTGCTTCTTTTTTGGCAATATTGGGGTTTGAACTTGGGGCCTACACCTTGAGTCACTCCACCAGCCCTTTTTTGTGATGAGTTTTTTCAAGATACAGTCCTGCGAACTGTTTGCTGGGGCTAGCTTTGAACTGCAATCCTATTAATTAGATTACAGACCACTGCCTGGCTTCACACCCTGCTTCTTAAATGATAGGTAGCAGTCATATTTGTGCTCATTATTGCTAAATCTTCCTTTTCTACTTTTGAGTCTTTCCTTTAATAGTTAATTAAAGGAAAAAAGCAGGCTTCAATTAGGGAAACGTTCAGAATCATCTCCTAGGGTTTCATCTTCAGAGGCCACTTGGAGGCCTCTGGAGGAAAAGAAACTTAAGAAACAGAAATGGTCCAGAAGAAAGGTCAGTAACTCATCCTAAAGAGTAATACTTACATTTAAGAGGATAAACCAAATTAATTGGTTTGTTACACTAGGGTGTGAGAGTTCTTTGGATTCTTTGAAAGCAGAAGTACCGGCCTGCTCCTGGCACGGTGCCTGGCACAGGGAAGCACTCACATGTGTGGTTAGCTTGAACTCTGTGTGGGTGCAAGGGCATGTGCGTAGTGGTGGTGGTGAAACCTGACTGTGGTCTCACTGAAGCTGGGCACCCTGTCTGACCTCTAGGATGCAAATTTGGGGCGATGTTTGCATGGAGACCAGGAAATAGAGCAGGACCCTAGGAAGGCGGGCCGAGATCAGGGCCTGGCTGTTTATCTTGCCGAAGGCTCTCCTGGTCCAGCCCAGAGTAGAGGCTGACGCCAGTCCAGGTACACAGGCTTCTTTTCTCAGGTGGGTGCTTTCTGGTTCTTTTCAATCCAGAAGTAGTGGGGGTGGGCAGGGTGGGATAAGGATTGGGCTTAGCCCCGCACACAAAATTAGAGCTGATCAACATCTAGACACAAGGAGCTTGGGACTAGATTTCACTAGTAAGGCGATGATGAGGGGGAGGTGGGGATGGAGGGGAACAGGGAGTAACATTCAGAGAGCACTGGGAGGGAGGGCCCAGAAGCTCCCCATTTTTAGAGGTGGATGGGGCGGGCCCCCTTCTTCCCATATCCGGGCATGGTGTGTGCCAGGAGCTGGGTAGGCCGGTCCCCAGGATCCTGGAGGGGAACTGCAGGAGATGGTGTCAGTGCGGCGTGGGGTGCGCCAGCGCGGGCAGCGGCGGGCGGGCACGGCCTGGCAGGGCGAGAGGGCACTTCCTGCTGGCCCCGGCCGCAGGGTCCGCAAAGGAAGCGCTGCGCGCCCGAGGGGCGGGGGCAGGAGGCGGGGCGGGGCCCGGGCCAGGGCGCGGCCAATGGGCGGGAGGCTGCGGGCGCCCTGGCGCCGGCCACACCCCGTCTCGGGATGGAGGGGGCGGATCCTGTGTACAGCCGGCGCTGCCCCGGCCAACGGCCTCGCAGGGCGGCCCACGTCAGCCTGGCTAGCGAGTCCTTCCGTCTCCGCAGAACCCGGCCTCCAGGCGCCCCGCCGGCCCCGCCCTGCACCGCATTCCAGGGACGGAAGGCATTGTAGTTTTGCTTTATAGTTAATAGTTTCAAGTCGTCAGCGTCCAGGCATTTAATCAAGTCTGCAAAAAGGGTCGGTCTCCATTTTGCAGATGAAGTCACCAAGGCAAAAAGAGCTGACCAGCATGCACCCGGTTGCACAGATCAGAGCCCCAGAACTGTGCTCTCTCCCCTGCCCTGTTCCCATTGAAAGTCCAGCGACCTGGACAGTGCCCTTCCTTCTACCACCCCCTTCCAACCAGTTTGTTGAAACAGGGTCCGTTGCAGTCACAGGTGAGGCACTTATCTCGCATCAACCCCCTCTCCAAGAACCACAGAACCAATATAGGGGGTCTGGCTTTCTCTTTAGTTCTTATCACATCGTGAGGCTCTGAGAAGGCACTTAAATGGGACGATCACTGATTCAAGACAACCCTATCTTCCCTCCCCCAACTCCCTTGGCACTAGTTTGTGGGTCCACTTAACCGTTAGACCCCGGGGAGAGCTCAAGGCCTTGACCTCCGGACTCCAGATGTGTGCGGAGGGGTTTCAGAAACAGAATTCGGAGTTGGAAGGCAGGATGTCTTGGGAGCAGCCCCCAGCCAGCGGGGGGCGAGGGAGGAGGCTGCAGGGGTGGGTTGGCACAGGGGAGGACAGTGTGGCCAGGCTTCCTGGAGACCCCCCTACCCCAAGCCCCACAGAAGGTTCCATCTCCTGCAGATACCCTAAAGGCACCGGTGAAATCTGGAGTGGGGGAGGCACCAATTAGAGGGTGAAGATCCCCCTTCACTTAGCTGGTGGACCTAGCTCGTTGCTGGGCACAGAAGGTGCTCAATAAATGTTTTTTTGAATGAATGGAGCAAAGAAGCTGAGGGACAGAGGACAAGGCCTGCAGCCCCTGGGCCCAGCTTGTTCCTCTCAGAAAATAGCAGTTTAAAAAATGTAAAAATCCTCCCCCCCCCCAATTTCTGGGCCCAGAAAGGGGAGAGGGAGAGCCCTCTCTACGGGGACCCTTTCCTCTCTCCTTCCCTTAAAAATCTATATACACATATACATATTTATATGGCACCACAGACGGTCCTGCCTAGGCCCTCCTGAGGCATTGCTGGAGGGGCCAAGCCCCAGGCCTTAGGTTGGTTATGGCAGAAGAGGTCCAGGCTTGATGAGAAGCAGCCATAGCTATCAGCTTAAAGAAGTTGGACTTTGGGGTCCTGAAGGAAGGACCCCTGCTCCCTTCACAAGTGGTAACAGACCTTCTTCCCCCACCTCCTAAGCAGAAACTGGTAAGGGCTCTGACAGTCCCAAGCGAAGAGATTAGGAGGGAAGAACCTGGTTCCTCCCAGATCAGCCTAGACTGCAGCCACCTGCAGGCTGTTCCAGGGGGGAAGATGCCCTTGGAAAGCTCACTGGGCAAAGGTGAAAGGAGTTCTATGCAAGGCACTTGGTGACCATAGTTCCCAGGATAGGGGTCCAAGGCATGGGGCAACAGAAACCCTGCCCCTATCCCCAGAGCAGAACTGGAGCTGAGGGGTCCCATTTGGCAGCATGAGAGAAGAGGAAGAGAGGGGAGCAGCAGGCAGGGCCCTCCAGGTCCCCTGAAAAGGGGGGAGGAGGTTTGAAGGCACTGACACAGGGGCCCAGGGGCTCATTGTCCTTGGTGCAGCCTGGTGGGGTTGGTGGGGGAGACACCTGCTCCCCCAGGGCTGTGAATGTGGAGCGGCCCACAGATGGGTTTTCTTAAAAGAGCACAGGCAGGCGCCCACAGTCTGCGTGGAAGGAGGTGTGGCCTCAGTCAGGGACAGGTCCTGGCCCCATGGGGCTCACTAGCTCCCAGGCCTTGGCTGCCTGAGCACTGAGTATACGTCGTCCACACGGCTTAGTTGCTCGAAGAAGGGTAGGAGGTCATGGAGCTCAGTGTCACTCATGTTGTCAAACCATGAGGCCACAGGTACCTGGGGAGATGGGAAGAGGAAGGTGAGGGTGGCAGATGGCCCAGGGTGCCATATGTTCAGGCCAGCTCTAACCACATTCCCTCACACTCACACTCTTTGAATGCAACTGTCAGTGAAAACGTTTACACACACAATAAAGCACACTTTCACAAAACAACACTTGATCTTACAGTGTGCAAAAGAACACCAATATTTGCTATTCTACTCTGTTAAAAACCCCAATCAGGATTGTCCCGTTAATAGGTCAAAACTGGCAGTTTGAAAGGTGTAAAGTACCCCATTGCCTGGTGGGGACCCTAGCTGGGCACCCCACCCACAGGCGGAATGGAGCGATTAAGAAAGTACAGATGTCAAGGGCAGGAAAAACACCTGGGAAGGCACCAGCCCCCAACATTGCCCGCTATGGGGTTCTGGAGACCCAGACAGACTAAATGGAGCCTTGGGTCTTAACCCTCCCTGGGTCCAGGGTGCGCTCACTGCGTTGTCGGGATGGAAGACATAGGAGGCGGGTGAATTGTCCAGAATGAGCACTCGCCGGAGGTCTCGGCCCAGCCTGCTCAGGTCTTTCACATAGTTCCCCCGGTGGAAGACGCAGGACTCCCGAAACAGCCGGGCCCGGAAAGCCCCCCACTTGTCCAGCAGGTCAGCTACTGGGTCTGCGTACTGGAGGTAGAAAGAAGGTCGTCCCAGGGCAGGGAGTGACCCAGGGCTGCATCTGTCCCAGACCCCTGGCTGGGGGCTTACCTTGGCAAGGCTGGCGGTGAACAGCACACACTCAAACAGCTCGCCCATTCGCTGTAAGAATTCGTCCACATGAGGCCGCTTCAGCACATAGACCTGGGGGTTGAGCCAGTGAGGGGGCTGCTGACCCACAAGCAGGGAGGGAGGGGTGTGAAGGCTGGAAGGGCACGGTGGAGGGGCAGAGGAGCCCAGGGAAGCAAATCCCAGACTCTGTGGGTTCCCCACAGCCACCCTAACCACCCACTCTCCCTGAAGAATCAAAATAAGCTTCTAGTTCCACCTTCTGCAGGTCTCATCTTGTAGGGGGGATCACTAATTCCCAGTCTTTCCCCCCACCTTAACTTGAGCCAAATGCAGGAGTCTGGGTCAGCCCCCTCACCCCAAGGCCGCAGAGCACCGGCCCCCGAGCCAAGTAATGGAGAACAGGCTGGACAGCACACAACCTATCCTGAATTACTTGAACTGGGTCCCGGGCAGGGGGGGCAAGAGGGCTTAGCAAACCAGGGCTGGGAAAAGGAACCCACTGTCTGCAGGTTGGAATCAGCCATGGCTTTGGGGCTTTGTGTGGCCTTGGGCAAGTTTCACACCCTCTCTGAGAACCTCCGGCCATTCCACATCTCTCTAAGTCCCATCTGGGGGCTTTCTTCAGATTGGTGGGAAGAACCTGGGGTCTGGAGCGCAGATGCCAAGCCCACCTCCTCCTCCTCCTCCTCCTCCTCCCCCTACCCCTCACCTGGTGGACCACCCCATCAATCTCCACGGGGATGATGAAGTCAGCGTTGTTCACTGGCTGTGGGGGGAAAAGAGCTGCTGGAATTGGGGTGGGGAGCCCCAGGGGCCAGGGCACAGGGGAGAGTTCCCCCCAGGTAGGGAAGGCTCCCTCAGAGACTTGGGGCTGAGGGATGCTGGGCAGGGCCCACCTTGAAGGAGCTGTGCACCAGGGTCTCGTCCAGGTCGATGACCACGCAGATCTTGTCTGAGTCTTGGGCCTTGGCCTCGGGAAGCAGGTACTGGACAGGGGTCTGCTGTGGGGAGGGGTGGGGCTGGGTGGGGCACCTCCTACTCAGACTTCCCACCCCTGGCCCTCCACCTGGGGACCCATTGGGATAGTGGGACATTCCACACCCTTCCATTTGACCCTGCCAACTCTGGGTCAGGGACAGGCCACCTGGCTCTCTTCCCGACCTGGGAAAGCTCACACCTAGGAGGGGACACTCAAGAGTTCTGCAGGGGGGCAGTTGGGGGCAGACAAAGCCAATGGGGAGGCTGCAATTCTTGGCAGGTGAGGCTTCCCTGAGTCTGCAGGTGTGTCAGGAAAGCTCACCCTGAAGCCCCTTTTCTAAGTTCCCTCCCCACTGAGTTCAGGTCCCCCTGAAGCCCCCTCCTGGCAACACGCACCTTGGGGATGGCGCCATTCTCCTCCACGAGCAGGGGAGCCCCACTGTGGGCAGGCAAGGCTTCCCCATCATCTCGGCAGACACAGCAGAAGAGAGAGTGGAGGAAGCCCCGGTTTCGGGGCTTCTGGGAAGAGGCTGACTTCTGGTCACCTAATGCAAGGAGGTTCAGGTTGGGGACGTGGGCACATGGGCCTGCAGAGGCATGCACACGTTCCCCGGTGCCAACTCTTTGAGCAGGGAAAATCTGAGCATGCTCCCTTATCAAGGGGACACACTAAGGCACCTTTGGTCCTCTCTGAGATGCCCCTGCAGGGGCCTTCCAGGCAGCTCTCTGACAAGGAGTTCTATTGAGAATAAAATGCAGCCGGAGTGGGCCGCTTGGAACGAGGGACACGAGTGCTTTCGCTTTTTCTGCGAGCCTCCATCACCTGACCCGCCTTACCTGAGCAGCTCCTGCTCAGGACAGCCAGGGCCTGGGGTCCCGTCGTCCACTCCCACTCTCCCTCCATCCTGTCTACCCCGAGGGTCCAAAGTCCTCAAGGAGGCTGGGCCCTGAAGCAGGGGGTGTAGTCCCGAGACCTGGGGCCAGTGTCCCAGGGCCATTTGTCGGCTCCGCCTACTCCGTCCCCGCCCCGCCCAGACCAGACCTCCGACCTGCGGCGGGCAGACTGACAGACCCACCCGCCCCACTGCACCTCCGCCCCCTGCCCAGGGCGGAGCTAGGCCCTGGCAGGAGGTGGGCAGACCTGGGAGGACTTCCAGGCCATGAAGGCCACACGGAGAAGGGGAGGAGAGACCCCCCCCGCCCCCGCGCCCAGGCCAGGCGCAGGGGCGCAGCCTCAACGCGCGGCGCGGCTTCCCGGGTCGGGCTTCCCGGGTGCGTGTGTGCATAGGCCCGGCGCCCACGGGCCTGCAGCCCGGGCGCGGCGTGCCCAGCCCTACCCAAGGCTCTCCCCACAGGCGGGCAGGCGACTCTTGAAAGTGCCGGCCCCCCCTCTGTGCCTCCGAAAGTCTCTGCGCCTCCACGCGTGACGTGCGTTTGTGGGAACGCAGCTGTGTGTTGGCGGGAGATCCCTCCAAGCTTCCCCAGCCCGCTGTCATCTCGGCGCCCCCTCCCAAGACCCCGACCCGACCACAGCCTAAAGTGGGCGGAGTCTCAGCGGGTGGCCTGAAGGCGGCTGACTTGCCCCCCCATCCTCCAGCCCCATTGGCGCCAACCCGGGGGGAGGGGGCGACGCCCGGGCACCGCCGCGCCAGGATCCCCCACGGGAGTCCCTCTTGTTGCCCCTGCCTCAGTTTCTCCACCAAAAGCAGAACGGGGCGCTCTATAAGCACCAGGCCCCGCCCAACGTCCCTGAGACTGCAAGAGTTCAAACTCTCAGTTTCTTCGGGCTGGAGCTCCGGCCCGGTCAAGGCGGGCGCCCCGGGCGGTGGCAGCAGCTGCTGCGCGGGGAAAGATCCCGGTCCCTGCCTCCTCCCCTCCCGCCGCGCGCGGGCTACGGCCCCCTCCCCGCTGCCCCCGTACCTTTGCCCCGCAGCGGGCCCCGCGCCTCCTCCTTGCTGATCTGAGTAATGACGGCCGAGCTGTCCATGGGGCCGGGCACGCTCCGCTCCGGCCGGACTCTGGCCCCGGCGCCCGGCCTCCCCCCCGGCTCGGGCCGGAATCGGGGCGCGGGGGGGAGGGGGAAGGGTGGGAGGGAGGGATCCCCGCGAGCTTCGGAGGGGAGGGGAGCCAGGTTCTAAGGGGGAGGGGGAGGGAGGGGGCGCGGAGGAAACTTTGTTACAACATGGAGTTTCCTCCCCGCGAGGCGGATGCAAACATGGAACCCGGGCGCCGTTTCAAGGCTCCCCCTTAAAAGGGCAACGGCTTCGGCGTGACCTGGACTCAGCCGCGGCTTTCATCACTTCTGGGGCCCGCGCGGCCCGGCTGGCGGGGAGGCGGGCCGGGTTGGGTTCCTGCCGCGATCCAGGGGGCGTCGCCTCCCTTCCTGCCACTTGCAGGCCTTCTGCGGCTGCGTGGCAGGGCAGGCACCCGGCCCACTGTTCCAAGCCGCCCAGCGCTGGGGGCCAAGGCCCGCCCCGCCCGCCAGGAGCGCCAGCGCCCAGGAGTGCCCCAGGGCGGCGCTGCTCCACCTCGGCACATTCCGAGGGCCGGACTCTAGCCGCTTCTCAGTTTGCTTATCTGGAAAGAGGAATAATGATAACTTATGTGTAAAGTGGGTCTTGTCTGATCACAGGGACGTAGAGAGCGAGCAAAGGCTCTTTGCTAGCTCCAGACAGCTGTGCAAACCCGCAAAAGTATGTTCTTGATCTGACTGTGACTGCTACCACCCACCGCAAGTCTCGGGGCGAGGTAATCTAGGTCTACAGGGTGTGAGAACTCCACCTCCCTGTCCCGGGACTCACCCTGTTTATCTTTACGGACTGCCTCACCTGTTGCCACCTCACGTTCCCGCCAGAAGCCAAATGTCCTGGGCTTAAAATTTTAGAACGCCCTGTTCCCTCCGCTAGGACCTCACTTTCCTCCTCTTTGGCGGAACCAAATTCTTTTACCTAAAGAAATGCAACCTTGTTCAGAGGTCTTCCCAACCTCCTCCCCCCTCCCCGGAGCAAGGGCCACTCTGATTATTGGAGGGTGCGAATTCTTTGGATTGGCTCTGTTCCCAAGTGCCCAGCACGGCGCCACAGTGGGCACGGCGCCCGACCGTGGGGTCTCTCACACAGCAACTGTTCAGAGGATTGCAATCACTCGTGTCACCTGGGTCTGTGGCGACACATCCCAGCCGACGAGGGCTCTGCGTTTGCACACAGGCCCTTTCCGCAGGAAACCCCGGTGTTGTGCGCACCAGGAGGGCAGCGGATCGTTTTACCGATTTACGGAGTTCCTTCCATTTGCCGTTACTATTTTGTGTTAACAAATTAAAAAATAATAACACCACCAAGCCCTGGCAAACACTCCCTTGCACTTCCTCCCTCCCATCGGGCCTCCGCTGCCGGGCGGGGCGCACCAGGCGCGTCCGGTCCCGTCCAGCCTCGGGGTGCGAGCGCGGTGCACGTCCGCCGGGCCCCGCCGAGGGGGAACCGCTAGGGGCCCGGCGGGGGAGGCCCGCGCGGGGCGGGAGGGGCGGCGCCGCATGCGCGCGCTTCGCGCACTGGGCGGGCGGGGAAGGGGGGAAAACTTGATGCACGTCCCGGGCTAGACCCGGGTCTTCTCTCTGCTCTTCGGGCGCCCACAGGGCCGCCATCATTGCATTTCATCGGCTTCACAGCCAACGTGTTGCCAGCCTGGTCTGGGTCGTTCTCTGCGTCCCCCGCCCCAATCTCGTGCATTCCGCAGAACGTCCCTCCCGCCCCGTATCCCATTTGACAGATAGGGAAACTGAGCTGCGAGAAAAGAAGCGTTGGGCCCAGGCCTCCAGCCAGACTCGAGGCGCCCCTCCTCGCCCCGCCCAGGGATGGCGCCTCTGCCGGGTGTCCGGATGCCCTGTCTGCACTGACCCCAAAAGGAAGTAAACCAGGAACGGAATGGACGCCCAGCCTTGGTAGGATGGTCGCCTTTCTCTCCCTCTTCGAAGGGGGCTGGAATCGAGCTAGCTGCCCCAGTGGCCACACAAACTCCACTGGCAGGGCCGCTGTCCCCCACCACGCCATTCACATCTGGCCACCCTAAGCTCACAGGATTCCTGAGGATCCCATTGCTGTCTTCTAGGCGTCGCTGAAGAAGTGTCTTCCCAGAGGAGACAACCAAGGCAGGCTGAAACTTCTGCTAGTAGCCCCCCATCCCACTTTTTTGGGTGGTTACTGGGGTTTGAACTCAGGGCCTCAACTCTTCCCAGGCAGGTGCTCTACCACTTGAGCCACTAGTCCTGTTTTTGTGTTGAATTTTCGAGATAGAGTTAGCCTCAAATCATCTCTGCCTCCCCAGTAGTTGCTGTTCTCTTCTACCCCAGCAGCGGAGGGTTGGGGGGGTGAGGGGATGGGGGTGGGGGTCGCTTTACCACACAATCTATTCTTACTTTTTTTTTTTTAATGGGCTTGCATCCCCAGGAAGAACAGTCCTGGGGGCTGCGGGGGTGGGGGTGGGTAGGCAGGGAACAGGACTCAGGACTCCCCTGCCTGACAACTGAGGACAAGCATCGTCTAGCACCTCAGCGTTCCACCTGCCAAACAGGACCATGAGGGCCTGGATGGGGACACTGGAGGGAAACTACAGTCGCCTTCCTCGCTCAAGTTCCATCAGAGACTGGGGAATCAGAGCTACTATAGCAGCGCGGGCAGCCCCCAAGGCATAGCTTCTCTGGTGGGAAATGACTGACCTTGGCCCAGGGTAGCCCCCTTAGCTGGCCCAAGTTCTAAGTCCCAGGCTTAACTGCTCCACGAGATCTGAGGACTTCCCAGAGGGTTTCCTGTCCCTGTACTGCACACACCAGACCTGCTCCTGGTACATTCCCTCTCCACACTGCCCCTGTGCTATAGTTTTCAAAACCTTGTGCTGGAGTCGCATTCTCCTCCCCTGGCCTTCCTGGGTCACTTGCCCTTCATCTCAGTGACTTTTCTTGTTTACTTAGCTGCCACACCCCTTTCCTCATCTCTCTCCCCTCCCCCAGTCCCTTGACAGCTGACATCCTCTTTAAATCGGGACTTTGTCTTCCTCTTCTCCTCTGCCACAAAGGACTGGCATCCAATTATGCCAAGCGAATTGACTAGAGATGTGTGCAGCGGGTATAGCTGAAGCACTTTTCTGTTTTGGTTTGTTTTTGGTGGTACATGGGCTTCATGCTTTCTAGGCAGGCGCTCTACGCAGCTGGAGAAGAATCTGGGAGATGCCTTCCCTCACTACCGCCCTGCCTCCTTCCCCTTCTTCAGCCCTCCTGGGCCCCATCTTCTCCAGGGGCAAGCCCAGAGGAGGGTGGATGGGAGGCCTTCTTGCCCAGACACCCTCTAGCAGCTGCTCTTGTTGGGCCAGACCTGTCCTATTCCCTTTTCTCCCTTGAGGGCCCCACTCTTCTCGTTGCCCTTTTAAGAAAGAGGAAATTCTTCTCATAAACAAGCGCCCCAACCTGAGCGCTGGGCCGGGCCGAGGGCCCTGGGGCATCCTCGGGAAATCGGGGTAGCTTTCAATCACCGCACCTGCCCCAGTCTCAACTCTGGGGAAAACTCGGAGGCCCCTCCTTGCTGTGGCTCTTTAGCCGCTTTTACACTGGGGTTCGAGCAACTGGAGGAGTCCGGAGGAGGGACTTGGGGAGCCTAGAAACAGTCCAGGGAGCGTCTGTAAAGTGCTGGCTGCGCGAGGGGCGAAGGCGTGCCCTGCAGCTCCCTGCAGTTGGGGGGGGGGGGTTCCTCTCCCAAAGAGCTACCCTCGACTTCCTCGCGGAGGTGGATTCTGCTGCCCGGGGCGAAAGACTCCAGCACCCGCCTTCCCTCTTCGTTCGCTTGGCTGGAAGGGGTGACGCCAAGGCGCTCTGCACTGTCCTTGCCCCTAGGGGGAGCTGGGAGTCAGAGCTGCGAGAGCTTTAACAGTGTGGCGTGGGAGTCCTGTCCGCCCGGTCCCCTAAGATGGCAAAAGAATTGGGCCTCGAAGGCATGGACTCCTGGGTGCCTTATGACCTGGCGCCTGAAGGGGAGAGAACCGCACCTCGGCTTTTCTGCCTGGAAAATGGGTTGCAGGCTGCAGAGAATAGGAACGAAATAGATAGTGGGTTTGAAGGAATTTTTTTTTTTTTTTGGTGGAAGTTGGGTTTGAACCCAAGGCTTCGCGCTTGCAGAGCAGGCACTCTACTGCGTGAGCCGCACCTCCAAGTCCATTTTGTTCTGGTAATTTTTAGAGATGGGGATCTCAAGAACTATTTGCCCAGACTGGCCTTGAACAACGACACTTTCTGATTTCAGCCTCCCAAGTAGCTAGCATCCTCTTGATCATTTAGATTTCTGGCCTTCTGGGTTTATGTTCACAGCTCTTTGGAAGAGAAAAGGGGCTAGAATTTCCTTAGCATTCATTAGACTCTATTAAGTGCTAGTTGGAGCCCAGGCTGGCCTGGACCTTCCTGCCTCAGCCTCCTGCTGGTGGGGTTAAAGGTGTGCACAAATAAATACTCCTTGAATGATTTTAAAGTACCAAGTGCCACGATTGTGTTAAAGTGTTTTACATCCATAGTAATGTCCCAGTAGTCCTCCCTTTTACAGATGAGGGCACTGAGAACCTGAGGTAAGCACTTGTCTACAGCAGGAAACATTAAGTCCAGTAAGTCCTGCTTGGTCGTTGTTCAAGTTGGCCAAGTGTCTTGTGCCATCTTGCTGTCTCCACATCCTGCTGCGTCCTGGAGGCCAGTCTGCCACCCTCATTCCACCTAAGTGGAGCTCATGGTGAGCCCTTCCCATCCACCTGGTCCTCTTCCAGGAGCCCATACAGAAAGTGCTGGTGGGAGCTGTGGGTCAGAAAAACGGCTCCGTGGGCGATGCAACAGGTCCAGGCCTGGGGAAGGGGCAGCCAAGAGGGAGGGGGAGGTGAGACCTCTGGGCAAGGAGTGGGGACAGGCTAGCTGCTGTTGCCTCTCCCTTCTGACTGCTGCCCCCTCACCTCGCTCCTCCCACCCCAAAGGCACTCCTGGACCCTACCATACCAGATAGACAGTAAGGCCCAGGTAGACTGCAGCCAGCACAGCCACCAGGCCAAAGTAGGCAGGGTGTGGGAGGCTGGGCAGGTAGCTGATCACAAAGTAGAGGTTGATGGCGCAGACCAGGGCCATGATGCAGGAGGTGACAGCCTTGCTCAGCCTGGGGCACAGGAGGTTAGGCTCAGGACTAGCGGGATGCTTTTGGGCCACCTGCATCCTCTTCTCCCCCTCCTCCTCCAGTATCCCCAGCCAGCCCAGAGTCAGGGATAGGGATACACAAAACCCTCTTCTCTAGTCTGTGAGACCCATTTCCTCCCCTCCAGGCTTTACACTGGCAGGATTTGGCAAGAGGTGAGGTGAGGGCGAGCTCAGGCTTTAGAGAGAGCCCCCACTCCTAAATTCGAGTCCTGGCTCCCCCACTTGGTAGCTGTGTGGCCCTGGGCAAGTTCCTTAATGTCTTTGAGCCTGAGCTGGTCACTCTGGATAGTGGGGATAATACTCCTCCCTCGGTGGGGGGGGGTTGTGAGGATGGATAGCATCCCAGTGCTTGGGGCGTTGGTACTCACAGGCCATTGGCAAACTCCTGCATGACGGCTGGCATACTGGTGAAGGTCAGGATGGGCAGTACTGCAAAGGGAAGCTGAGGACAGTGGGGAGCCTAAGACTGAGGGACCCTGCCTCTGATGCAGCAAGCAGGGGAGGAAGACAGGGGATAGCCTCATGTGCCTGGCAGTGAGTCTTTGCTGTTCCCTAAGCACTCTGAGCCTGTCTCCTCATCTCTTCCAAGCAGGAAGACACAAGCAGTCTCCTGCCTGGTGTCTGAGTTTGAATCCCAGCTCTGCCTCAGTCCCTAACTTCACGCTTCAGTATTCCCATCTGTAAAATGGGAGCAATGGTGATTCCTACTCCCCGAGGTGGCTGCAGGGATCCTGTGATCCTTGTAGAAGGAGATGCGTTTAGCTTGGAACCAGGCAGACCCAAGTAGGCTCCGTGTGGGGGCTGCTGTGTTCCTCTCTGGAGCACCCGTCTCACCAGCAGGCTCTGCAGCACGTTGAGCAGGTCGTTTAGGCCCGACAGGTCCCTCAGGTCGCGGAAGACAGCCACGAGAACGGTGGGCAGGATGGCGCAGGAGCGGGTGAGGAGGACGCGGGCGAAGCGGGACCAGCGCAGCCTCAGGAAACCCTGGAGTTGGGGACAGGGGTGGGGGTGGGGTGGCGCAGGATGAGGGCTCCAGAGAAGGGACCTGTGTCGTCTCAGCCCACCTCATCCCTGGGAGCACACTTTTTCCATCTCTGGAATGGGGGCAGCTCTAGTTGCTGGAGAAGGGATGGGTGGGAGAAATGGGGGCGATTCCTCCCACAAGTTGCTGTGGGGCCGGGCTTCTGCTTCTCCCACATCTGCACCTTCTGGCGAGTCGCCTCACTCAGTTTGCTCCCCTCTAAAGTGGGGCTGCTTTGGATCTGCAAGGGCAGGGGTGTGAGCCCCCAGCAATGCGCCTGTTGTCCTTGGCCCGTAGGCCCTCCCCGCCCACCTCCATCACGAACTGTCCCGCGTAGGTGCCGGTCATGGTGGAGCTCTGCCCTGCGGCCAGGAGCCCCACAGCCCAGATGTAGAGGGCCGCGGGGCCGAAGAGACAGCCCAGGATCACGCCCTGGAGGGAGGGGGTGTGGTCACGCCATGGCCCCGCCCCCGGGATGGACCACGCCCCCTCCTGCGGCGCTTACTCCTTGGTAAATGTCCACTGCCACCGTGTGATTGTTCCTGGGGAAGATCTTGGCGTAGTCGTGGAGGCTGCTGTTGGCACAGATGCCGAACTGCGGGCGCCGGCCGGCGGGAGGGAGATGGAAGCACACTCAGTCTTGGACACTCAGACCCCCTGGCCTTGACCAGGACCAAAAACTGGTGAATCTGGTCCGACACAACTGGCTAACAGGAGGTCTTTCTTTCTTTCTTTCTTTTTTGGTGGTGCTGGGGTTTGAACTCAGGGCCTCCTGCTTGCTAAGCAGACGCCACTCCGCCAGCAGTCGGTCTTTTTCTTTAATATGAATTTGTTGCTGACATTTACAGCGAAGAACTGACATGGGAACTCGGTTTCCAGTCTCTCAGATTAGTAAGAGCTGGCACTGCCACAGAGAGGACGACTCTGATCCCTGCAGCCCCCTCTTCCTCACAGCTCACCCACTTCCTACAGCCCTGGGACACATGGCCTTTTTAAATTCAAAGGTTTGCAATCCTTATTTACTGCTCCTCTCTTGATGAGGAGGAGCAGACTGAGAGGAGAGAGGGAGGCAAACTCCCCTCCGGTCACAAGTCACAAAGCAAGGCGTGCAGTGCCCAGGTCCTGGGAGTCCTGGTCGCCCCTCTCCCCACAGGGCTGAGCATCCAGCAAGCGCCAGGCATCAGCAGTTGCCACTGTGGCTTCAGGAGGGAAACCCACTCTGACAGGGTGCCAGGCACAAGTCCAGAGCCTAGACAGCCAGAGGAACTGACCCCACACCCCCAATCCTGCTGCCTCAGTTTACCTCCCTGTGTGCTTATTTTCCTGTCTCTTCACCCCTCCCCAGGAAGCCGCAGGAGGGAGGGTCTGACCAGTTCTTTTACCCAAGATCTTGGACAATGTCCAGAACATTGATCAATGCCTAGCAATGATTAGTGAGTATTTGCAGAATGACATCTCAACATCGCTCTTCTGACAGCACAGATTATGTAGAGAGGGGACCCCAGAGTCCAGCCCAAGGGGGAGCTGCATTTGCCTGAAGTCCAGCAAAGTTGGGGGGCGGGAGAGAGGTAACAGGGCATGACCAGTACAGCGTCTCACCGCATCCTCATTGGTTTTCTGGTAGAAGGCCTGCCCAAAAACAGCCATGACAAAGAGGTTGATGATGAAGGAGACGGATAGAGCAATGGTGGCCTCAATCAGAAAGTACATGTTGGCTTCTCGGATGTCCACCCGGCGGGCTCGGTCCACCTCTCTAGACTATGAAGTTCAAAGGGAGAGGGAAAGGTCAAAATTCCTCAGAGGGACTCCAGTGTTCCCTACCCTTACCCAAAGTCCAGTTCCTTCCAGAGTCTCCCATGTGACAGTCTGGGTCAGGCTTTGTGGTCAACCACTCTCCGTCTACATCTCTGCCTTTGTCAGAAGCTTGGTCTACAGTGACAAATTCTGTGTGAATGAAGGAAGACTGGCCTTTGAGGTCCCTCTGTAACTCAGCTCCGACATGCTACCCTTCATTCACCATGCTCCATCCTCAAACATGCCCGGTTTGTTTCTGCCTCAGGGCCTTTGCACTTGCTGCTTCCTCTGCACTTGCAACAGCAAGTGTGCCTTTCACAATCTGCAATTCCTTCCTCTGTTTACTTGGTTCCCGCCCATCGCCCATCTCTAGAATGCAAGCTCTAGGAGGCCGGGGTCCTTGACTGTGTTTTCATTACTGACCCCAACTTCCAGCACATAGCAGACACGCCATTATTATGGGTTCAATAAATGCAGAATGACTCGTTTCCCAGCTAAAATCCCAAAAGACAGATCTGGGGAGGGGGCCCTCCAGTCTGGGAGGTGGAGCAGCCTGGCTGTAAGGGAGGAGGTGTTTCTTCCTCTTCTCCCGCCTGCTCACCTTGACCAAGGACGAGTGCAGGTAGATGTTATGGGGCATGATGATGGCACCGACGATGCCCACAGCCTGCAGTAGCTCAGGCTGGCCACAGTCAGAGCATGAGGGCAGGAACAGACCTTGCAGAAGAGCTCCCTGGGCAGGACGGGCCACCACATACTGTGGGGATGAACTTGGTCAGCTCTCTAAAGCTGCTACACCCTCCGCCCCATCCCAGAAGCCTGGGGGCTTGGCTCAGGGCTGCTCCCCCCATTCATTGAGCAATGCAACGGGAAGGGAGAGGAGTGATGGGGGGGATGCAACTCTGACTTCCCACCTCATAGCCAAAGGTCAAGGCCATAATGGTAATAAGGAATCCGAAAAAAGCTTCCAGCTTCCGCAAGCCTAGGGGCAGAGCAAAGGGGCAGAACAAACAAATCCCAACCCCCTGTAACATAAACAATTATTAATGCCTAATATTTGGAGTACTTTGTTCCAGGCACTGAGCCAGGGGCTTAACATACATTACCTCCCCAAGGCTTCTCACAGCCCCTTGACGTCCCTGCTGTCCTTATCCCTCCGCCCCTCCTTACAGATGAAGAAACAGCCGAGGATTTGCTCAATCCACATAGCTACAGTGAAGGAGTCAAGGCGCCTTCCAGTGAGGCAGGCAGCCATCCACAGGCTCAGCTCGTGGGGGCCCCCTCCCATCCCCTGTGAAGTGGGGGATTCCTCACCATAGTTGTCCAGGAAGAGGAAGAAGAAGGTGTCCACGATGGTGATCAGGACGCCACCCCAGAGTGGAATTCTGAAACCACAGTGTCTTGAGTCAGCCCAGCCTGACCCAGGGTCTGGAATTCCCACCCAAGCGACCTGGAGAGCTAGGGCAGGGTAGGAGGGGGTGTGCTGAAAATGGCATGGAACATTCCAGGAAGGGCAAAGCCAGGTGGGGGACCAGGTGTAGCAGGGCTGCAATCCTGCAGGCTGCATGATTTAGACTGTGACTTTCCAAGTCACGTTCTGGGAAACAGAGCAGCAGACCTGTGTCAGAGGGACAGCAGGATAAAATGGACTCAGGGAGGTACATGGGCTGGGGAAGGAGTAGCAGCTCTTTCTGGCCCTGGACTGAAGAGTGGGTGCCCAACTGGGGTGATACCGTCCAGCTGAGAGCAGATTGAAGGCGATAGCTGTGCCAATGACCTCCTGCATGTCTGAGCCCACAATGGCTAGCTCAATGGTCAGCCAGAGCAGGGTTCGAGGCACCTATGGGGAGGAGATATTGCTTCCTTAGAAGTGGGCTAGTAATTTCTTTTCTTTCTTTTTTTTTTTTTTCTCTTGTGGAACTAGGGCTTGAACTCAGGACCTACACCTTGAAACCATTCCACCAGCCCTTTCTTGTGATGGTTTTTTTTTTTTTTTTTTGAGATAGTATCTTGTGAACTATTTGCCCCGGCTAGCTTTGAACTGCAATCCTCCTGATCTCTGCCTCCTGAGTAGCTAGAATTACAGGTGTGAGCCACCAGTGCTCCTCTTAAACTTCTTTTCTTTACAAACTACCCACCCTCAGGTAGTTTGTTATAGCAACAGAAAAGGGACTGATTCAGAGATTGGATGTGAAGAGAAACCATTTCCTCTACTTCTAGCACTGTTTCTGGCAGTGGCATCAGTGAAGACATCAGATAACCTGAGTTCTAGCAGCACTGGCTGTCATTTAAATGTGGCTGCAATGCTCCTAGAAATTTGGCAACAAATGAGGGCTCTTGGGCCTGTGCCAGTGGTATAGCAGCTTTCTGAGGCTGATGACTCCTTTTGCTCTTTACACGATACTGAAACTGGCTGAATCTGTGCATGAAACCCTTTAGAAATATCATGTGTTGTAATTTCCGTGTTCCTGACTGGACACTGATGATAGCCAAGTCCCCAGGGTCCAGCAGTGACTATCCATGAGCTGACGCCTTTGTGGGTCTACCTTGGGCAAGACACTTCCTCAGATTTTAATTTCCCCTTCTCCTTCGTCCTCTCCTCCTTCTCCTCCTTCTTCTCCTCCTTCTTCTTCTCCTTCTTCTTCTTCTTCTTCCTCTTCTTCTTCTTCGTCTTCGTCTTCATTTTGGTCTTCTTCTTTTTCTTTTCCTTCTTCTCCTTCTTCTTCTCCTCCTCCTCCTCCTCATCGTCTTCTTTTTGGTGGGGATTGTTTCTTGAGACAGAGTCTCACTGTGTAGCCCAGACTAGCCTTAAACTCACTGTGTAACCCAGGCTCATCTCAAACTCTCAGATCCCCCACCTCAGCCTCCCTAGTACGATTTTCCCTCATGTAGAATGCTTCGTCTGCTCTCTGATAGGGACATCAGTCTAAGTGCCATTACTTTGAGCCTCAGTCTTTCACCTGTCAACTGGACTCCTGAGGTGATGTTTTTATTGGATCATGGAAACTGAAAATGGTTGCTCGGGATTTGTGATCTGTAGGAGCTTCCTGTCAGGTCCCCCGGCCCCACTCACCTTAGGGTAGTAGAGATAGCAGACCTCACCCAAGTCCTTGCCTGTCACCACGCCTAGCCGGGCAGCCAGCCGCTGACAGAGCAAGCCCAGCACGGTGGCCCACAGCAGCACCCAGAGCAGCTGTAAGAGTCACAGGAGGCCTTCAGCCAGCTGGGGGGAAAGGGGGGCGTCCCATCCAAAAAGGCCCCGAGCTGATGGCACCCTCAAACTGCGGACACTTCGTGGGTAGAGAGTGGTTGCTGGAGTGCATGGTTGACCCCCCTATAGCCTAGGCTCTGACAGAGCTTCCCTGGGGACCCTCTTCTGGCCCATTTGAACTTGACATCTGCTCCCAGGACAACCATCCATGAAGCTACCCTGGGGAAACAGGCAAGCTGGGGTCTCCACCCTCTCAGTCTGGTCACCTCCCTCCCCACAGCCCTCAAGCCCCAACTCAGCACTTTGAATCCGGCCACAGCGCCAGCCTGTAAGTCCGACTCAATGTTCCCTGGGTCCAGGAAAGCGATGCTCATGAGGAAGCCAGGTCCTGTGAAGGCCCACAGTTTCCGCAGGCTGAATGTGCCCTGGGGGTGCGAGCAGAAGGAGGGGGGTCCTGGGTCCAGGACTGGTCATAGCCGGCCTTGGTCAGCCCTCAGCTGAGCCTCAGCAGGCCCCTCAGTCCATGCTGGCCAGCCCTGTCCTGACCTGTCCCCACCCTTGGGGCTGGAGAGGGCACTGGGTGGAGGAACCAATGTGATTGCTGAATCATGGTGTACTGAGTCACGTTCAGCAGCCACCTGCACCTGACCACTCAAGGTTCAACATCTTAGGCTCAACTCAAGGATCCTCATAGCCCTCACAGGGGGCTTTGTAGGGGTCCAAGCTTTCCTGGTACCACTCCTCCTTTCGCAGACCATAGGGACTCCTCTGTGGGGTCCACAGAGGGTGCAGCTCCCCTGCCCCATTCTTGGCCATGGCCCATCAGCCGAGGAACCTTCTAGTGATTCTGGCCATGCATATAATTCGAGTCCTGGTTGCCAGCCTGCAGCCTCCTCCACTTCTCTCTCTGTGCCCTGGCCCGAGGCTTTTCTTGTATGCTGAAATAATCTCAGAGTGGCAACCCGAATTCACCCCAGGCCCCTTCCCATCATAGAAAATGAATTCATCAGAAAAGCCACTCTCTCATTTTCCAACAACTATGGAGTACTCTTGCTAAGTGCCGGGGACAGGAGCAGCAAGGGGGCCCGATGTCACTGTCCATCACTGCTTTGTGGAGAGGGAAGGACCCCCTCCCTCAGCTTGCAAGATCCCAGAGGATCCTGTCAGCCCCCAAAGCCCCCAGGAGGCGCCCAGCATTCCCACCTGTTCCGTGTCGGGGATAGGGATCTTCTCGCTCAGGTAGGTCTCCTTGGGAGGCGCTTGCTGTGGCCCTGGGCCAGATGGGCTGGAGATGGAACCATAGCTGGACCTGCTCAGCCTCTGGGGGCTCCTGTCACCTGTGAGAGCCATTAGGAGGCTTGATGAGTGTCCTGCTTCTTTCTAGAGTCCAGGGCTCAAGCCCACCTGCCTCCTTTGCCGTCTCTTGTCAAAGTGGAGAAATGAAGGTCCCTGGTCCCTCTCTTAGGTCATCAACCATTCTAGATGTGTGATACATGGAGGCTTCAGAATTATTTTCCTCCCACGTGAGATTCCCAAATCCAGACCTCCTGCCTCTGAGGATGAGAGACCCAGAGCTCTAAGAAGGGCGAGTTGAGACCACCATGTTTGCCCCTCACAAACTGCTGCGTTCCCCTCCCCCCCACCCAGGGGAGGAACCCAACCACTGAACCCCAAAATGTCTGGTGCTAGCATCGTGGTCTAAACCAGGACCCCCATGAGGGTCGGGGGCTTCCTTGACTCTTCAAATCTCCCCCTAGATTTAGTCTCCTCCTTCATCTTGCCCCCCATTCAGGCTTTGTCCCCAGAGGCCACGACTCACGAGTCATGAGGACAGGTGTCAGGTATCTTTGTGTGTGAGTGCTGGATCTGCAGCTCCTCAGCCTGACTCCTCTGGGTGCTGGTGTGAGTGAGTGGGGAGCCCACACCCTCACCCATCCTCACTAGGCTCCAGTCTCTGCATCGCTCACACGTTCACACGCCGGGACATTGCGACATCCTCTCTAAAGAAGAAGTGGCCAGCTCTAGCGGAAGGGTCTGGTCACCCACACCATGGACCTCTGTTCCACTCCCGGCGGCCCTGTGCCTGCCCCATAATACCTTTGGCCTCCTTCCAGGCACCCCGTGTTTTGGGCCTTCTACATTAGCTCTGACTTCAGGCACTTCCTGCCACTTGGGCATTCATGTCTACATCCTAGCAGTGGGTTCCCCACCCACTGCTGCACACACCCACGCATATGCACATCTCCAGACTGTAGTGCCCAGGCCTCTGGCTGTTCTAACGGGAGGGTGGGAGTCCTAAAACTTTCTAGACCCTGCCACAAGGACATACATTAGCTATTCAGGCCAAGGTGTCATCGGAAGGAAGGGGCACTGGGACTCTGTCAATGGCTCACTTGAGAGTGTTACCAGACCATATCCCTCCCGGGGCTTGTTTCTTCTGTTACAGGGAAAGGCTGAGACTAAGAGATTGAAGATATGGTTGTACAAAGAGGCCAGGGAGCTAAGGTAAGCTAGGAGACAGGTTGGAAGTAAAAAAAAAAATGATGCCAGACCAGTGTTGAATGACAAATGACTTCTCCTCAGCACTGAAGGTGTAATAAGGAGTGGTGGAGACTATGGCAAAACACAGGTCATGTATTCTGACTGATGAGGGAGGTAGCTGAAGCATTCCAGCCAACTGTCATGCAGGAATGCTGGCACACTATTTCATGGCTTCTGATTTGTCAAGAATACTGGAAAATTGGAATTCATTATACAGGGGGATTCATAGTGACAATGTTGATTAGGCTTATATTGTACATTTGTTAGATCACCCCCATCCTCTCTTCCTCCTCAACCCTCTCTGACCCACTTAAACAATTGCAAGAGGTTTCTTTGTTCTATTTCATGTAGGTATATGGAGTCCATCCACCATATACCGTCACCTAACCTCCTTCCTTCACCCTCCCCCCCACCAGTACCCTCCCCCCCACACACTTTACCTAATTTTTTTTTTTTTTGAGACAGGGTCTATCTATGTAGCCTGAAACAAATGATGCTCCTGCTCCTGCCTCTCAAGTGCTGGGATTACAGGTGTGCACTCCCACACTCAGCTTGTATATGTCTTTGAATATTAGGCTCAAAAAACTGAAAATGCTCTGTAATCCAAGAAAAACACACAGTGGGCTAGATTCAGCTTGAGGGTTATCAGTCTGTTGCCTCTGGGTAAATAAGGGAGAGACCAAATTCTCCTTGCCAGTTTTGCCTACTTCCTTTGCTCACACCCATTCAAGCCTTATACTATTGTCAAAGAAGAAGAGTCAAAGCCCTAGCCAGGCACCGATGGCTCACGCCTGTAATCCTAGCTACTCAGGAGGCTGAGATCAGGAGAATGAAGGTTTGAGGACAGTCTGGGCAAATAGTTCAAAAGACCCCTCTCCAAAATAATCAGAGCAAAATGGACTGGAGGAGTGGCTCAAAGGATAGAGTGCCTGCATTTCAAGTGCAAAGCTCTGAGTTCAAACCCCAGTCCTGCAAAACAAAACAAAACAAAGAGTCAAAGCCTGAATTGTCATGCAGCTTCCAACTTCAAAGTCTGAGATCTCAGGACTCAGAAAATAAGGGGAGTGTGATGTAAGAAATGTGTGCACTTGAGACAGGCAAGGTGGTACACTCCTGTAATTCCAGTTACACAGGAAATAGAGACAGAGGGATCACAGTCTTAGGCCAACCTTAGGCAAAGTTAATGAGATCTTACCTGAGAAATAAGCCAGAAGCATAAGGACTGGGGCACAGCTCAAGTGGCAGAATGCTTGTGTAAGAAGCACAAGGCCCTGAGTTTAATCCCCGAACTGCAAACAGCAAGAAAGAAAGAAAGAGAGAGAGGAAGGAAGGAAGGAAGGAAGGGAGGGAGGGATGGAGGAAGGAAGGAAGAAAGGAAGGAAGGAAGAAAGGAAGGAAGGAAGGAAGGAAGGGAGAGAGAGAGAAAGAAAGAGAGAAAGAAAGAAAAAGAGAAAGAAAAGAAAAAGTTTCGCTGATATCCCAGCACTTGGGAGGCAGAGGCAGGAGGATTGAGTTCAAGGCCAGACTGGGCTACAAAGACTTTGACTCAAAAACCAAAAGCTATGCTGGGGGCATGGCTCAAATGGTAAAATGCCTGCCTGATAAGCAAGAGGTTTTTTATATATATATATATTTGGTGGCACTGGGGTTTGAACTCAGGACCTTACACTTGCTAGATAAGTGCTCTATCCCTTGAGCCACCCTGTCAGCCCTTTTTTGTGTTGGGTATTTTTGAGACAGAGTCTTGTGAACTATTTGCTGGGGTTGGCTTCGAACCATGATCCTCCTGATCTCTGCCTTCTGAGCAGCTAGGCTTACAGGCATGAGCCACTAGCACTCTGCTGGCTTAGGAATATTTCTGGACTAAAGAAAGCCTGGTGACTCAGGACATGGGAGGTGAAGCCGTGCATCCGTAGTCATAATCATAAAACAGCCTTGAGTCCCCCGGAAAGTAACCTAGGCAACTGTTACCCTCGTGACCCTTTTGCCACTGGTGTCCTCTACGGTAGAGCTAATGAGAGACCAACGATCTATGGCTCAGCTCTGTGACCTCCCAAATTAGAGAATATTAAGGTCAGCTGAAAGCAAGTGAAGCTGGAAGATTGATGCATGCTCCTCGCAACCTGGTTCACAGTCACCTCGTTAACATAAACCCAGGTGTGGTTGAAAGGGACAGACGAGTAATTAGAAAAGACTCCCTTGCCTCTTGCCACCTTGAAAGTCACAGATTTTTAGTAGCTCTGTCCCCTGAACATCACAGTATGAGAGACCAAATATACATCTTTCTTTTTATTTTTCTTTCTCTTTCTTTCTGTCTTTTTCTACCTTTCTCCCTCCTTCCTTCCTTCCTTTCCTTCCTTCCCTCCCTCCCTCCTCCTTCCTTCCTTCCTTCCTTCCTTCCTTCCTTCCTTCCTTCCTTCCTTCCTTCCTTCCTTCCTTCCTTCCTTCCTTCCTTCGTAAAGCAGGAGAGTTTATTGAGATAGAAAAACATAAAGTGGAAGAGTAGAGCCCCCCCAAGAGAGAGTGCCCAAAACTTTCCCTTTCAAAAAACAAAATTACAAATTAAAAAAACCAAAAAAACAAAAAAACTTGTCCTTTAGGTGATTGGCATACTGTGCAGGGGAAAAGAGGCCTGGGTCAGTAACAACTTTCAGAGGCTGAGGGCTGGTTGCCAGAGAAACCAAATCTGTGATTGGAAGACTGAAATCTGTAGCCTGTCCTCCACCTGCAAAGAGGGGAGAAGGGCTGGAGATTGATTTAATCAACAATTCCTATAGGATGGGACCTCATCATGTCGGGTTTCTGGGAGCTTCTAGGTTGATGACACATTGAGTGGTAAGAGGCACTGACGCTCCCTTCTATGCCACATGGTGCCTGGCCCTGTGTACTCCTGCTGGGTGTTCCCAAGTTGTATCCTTTATAATAAACCAGTAACCGTAAATAAAGCGTTTCTCTGAGTTCTGTGAGTCACGAATCACTGACCCTGAGAACCTCCAATTATTAGCCAAATTAGACAGAAGGGTGTGTAACTTAGGGACCCACTACTTGGAACTGGCCTCGGAAATGGTGGCGTGGAGGGGTCAGGGGATGGTGGCGGTGGTGGAGTCTTGTGGTACTGAGTCCTTTACTCAGTGGTAACTCCAGGAAGTTAAGAGTTGGAATTGAGTTACATCACAGGATAGCATGTTAAGTTTTTCCATCAGTCTGAAAAAAAAGCTGACGGAAACAACTTAAGGGAGGAAGAATTCATTTTTTCTTTTTAATTTTTTTATTAGGATGTACTTGTGGTAGAGGGGGAGTCATTGTACAATTCCAAATAGGCTTATGTTGTACATCGACTAGATCACTGGCCCTCATCCCATTCAAAGCAACTGCAAGAGGCTTCTGTGTTCTATTTCATATAAGTTTATGAAGTCCACCAACCATATTCCCTCACCTTCATCTCCTTCATTCACCCTCCCCTATTTTACAGTCCTGTCTTTTGTTATTAATATTTAAGGTGATGTTCAAAGAGGTGATGTTCTCAATGTACCCCCCTGTGAGTATACTTTATTTTGGTCCATTCACCCCCTTCCATTACTCTCCCTTACCTCCCACCCCCATTTTTCCACTGCTTTCAATACATATCCTTATATCCTCTACCTTCACAGATGCTGTTTTGTGATATTGTGACACTCTGTCATTCTCTTAGGATTTATTTTGCCTCATGGTTTCAGAGGTTTCAGTCCCCCATGGAGAGGGGAAAGTGTGGAGATGTAGAGAGGCTCACATCTTGGTGACCAAGAGGCAGAGAGAGACATACAGACATACAGACAGATGCTCGTGCACGTGCATACAGGGGCTGGGGGGAGAGTCTACACTCTGAGCTTTCCCCTTTTGTTCCATCTGGGCCCCCATCTTCTGGGATGACATCTCCCACATTCAGGGCAGGTCTCCGCCTTTTTTTACTCCCCTCTGAAAACGCCCCAGAGCAATGCTTTCCTAATCTCCTAGGCAACTCTCAATCTAATTAAGTTGAGGCAGGTTGTCGGTGGCTCACACCTGTAATCCTAGCTACTCAGGAGGCAGAGATCAGGAGGATTGTGGTTTAAAGCCAGCCAGGGCAAATAGTTCAAGAGACTCTATCTCGAAAATACCTATCACAAAGAAAGGGCTGGTGGAGTGGCTCAAGGTGAAGACCCTGAGTTCAAACCCCAGTCTACAAAAAAAAAAAAAAAAATCAAGTTGAGAAACCAAATTGAAGTATTTCAGACATCGAGAGAGAGATGGCTCTGATTTCCACAGAGAAATGGAGAGTTGTTTGTTGTGGGAAACCCACCCATGTGGTGTCAGAGTACTGAGGGTAAGGAGACAGGATTTGTCTTAGGCAGGTTCTCAGCCGTCAAATCACAGCTGGGATGTTCCCATGTTGAATTAAAACTTTTATTTTTTGGAGGGGGAGCGGTTTGGCACCGGTGGTGGGTGGTAGGTGGTGGGGAAAGAGGTAGGAGGATGAATACAGTGCAAATAGTGTGTATACATGTATGTAAAAGCAAAAATGATACCTGTTGAAACTGTTCCAGGAACCAGGGGGAGGGGAGATGAAGGAGAGCTGTGGAGGGCTTGAATTCAAGTATGATATATTTGATACATTGTAAGAACTTTGTAAATGCTACAGTGTACCCCACCCAGTGCAACAATAAAAACAAAACTTTTATTTTGGGGGGTCCTGGGGCTTGAACTCAGGGCCTCACACTGCTAGGCAGGTGTGAGCTACCGGCACCTACCCCCCCAATTTTTTTTTTTTGTGGTACTGAGGTTTGAACTCAGGGCCTCATGCTTGCTAGGCAGGACTTTTGAACCAAAAACTTTAGATGATGGGAAGCTGCCAGCCCAGGCAAATAGTTCTCGAGATCCCATCTCCAAACTAACCAGAGCAAAAGGGGCTGGAGATTGGCTCAATTGGAAGAGTGCCTGCTTTGCACTGAGTTCAAACCCCAGTTCCACCAAAAAAAGTCCAAATAAAAAATGTTTACTTTATGAAAGTCCCCATGAAGATGATGAAAAATTGAGACACGGGCTTCAATAAAATGTTTGCAAATCACATATATGGCAAAGTATTTAAAATATGTCTCTTAAACTCATCAGTATAAAAAAAGCCAACTAAAATGGACAAAAATCACGAACAGTCAGTTCATCAAGAAGGATGTCCAGATGGAAATAAATGCATGAGGTATTCACAGTCATTACCTTTTAGGAATATGCAAATTAAAATCCTAACAGAACTCTGTTGCTGATTTGAACTCTGGAAAACAGTTTGCAAATTTCTTTTTTTGGCAGCACTGTGGTTTGAACTCAGGACCTCATGCTTGCTAGGCAGGCGCTCTTACTGTTTGAACCACTCCCTAGCTTTTGTGTGTGTGTGTGTGTGTGTGTGTGTGTGTGTGTGTGTGTGTGCTGGGTATTTTTGAGACAGGGTCTCAAGAACTATTTCCCAAGCTGGCTTCGAACCTCGATCCTCCCGATCTCTGCCTTCTGAGTAGCTAGGGTTAAGGTGTGAGCCACTGGCACCCGGCTGCAAATTTCTTTAAAAACTAAGCATGTGGGGCTGAGGATAGCTTACTCGTAGAGTGCTTGGCATACCCTGGGTTCCACTTCCAGCATAGATTAAAAAAAACTAAACATGCAACACCCAGTAACAGCACTGCTGGGCACCTTCCCTGGAGAATGACTTATGCTCACATACAAATCTGTACACCAATTTTTATAGCAGCTTTATTTACAACAGCCCAAACTGGACACAACACAGATGTCTTTCAACAGATGAGTGGTTAATCAACCCGTGATACATCCACACCACAGAATATACGCCTCCGTGTTTATCCCAGAAAAATGAAAACTCATGTCCACATAAAACCTGTGCGAATGTTTACGGCAGCATTATTTGTAATAACTTCAAACTGGAACCATTCCAGATATCCATCAACAGGTGGCTGCCTAACACGCCGTGGTACATACATATCAGGATTGCTGCTCAGCTAGTGCTGGGTGCAGGTGGCTCACCCCTGTAATCCTAGCTACTTGGGAGGCTCAGATCCGGAGGATCATGATTTGAGCCCAGCCCTGGGCAAATAGTTCTAGATACCATATATATATATATATATATATATATATAAAAATTTATATATATATATATATAAATCACAAAAAAAGAGCTGAAAGAGTGACTCAAATGGTAAGAGCACCTGCCTAGCAAACATGAAGCCATGAGTTCAAACCCCAGTACCACCAAAAAAAAAATCCAGAGCAAAATAGATTGGAGGTGTGGCTCAAGCAATAGAACACCTGCTTTGCAAGCACAAAGCCATGAGTTCAAAAAACCCAAGTCCCCCAAAAAGAAAGAAGGGGAAAAATAGAAAGAACAAAGTATTGACACATATGCTATCTTGGACAAATCGTTAGGGAATTATGCTGAATGAAAAAGTCAGTCTCGAAGGTTACCTGTGGAGAGCCCAGTTCTTGAGGTACTGAGGTTTGAACTCACTTCTACCACTTGAGGTACTCCCCCAGCCCTTTTTGCTTTTAGTTATTTTTCAAATAGGGTCTCTGGTCTATGCTGGGGCCAGCCTGGTTTGGAATCCTCCTGGTTATGCTTCCTGCCTAGCTGGGGTGACAGTCACACACCACTGGGCACAGGTGAGACCTCAGTCCTTGCCAGCACTGATGTCACCTCACGAGAGACCCTGAAGCAGAAAATACAGCTAACCCTGCCTGGACACACAGAAACTATGAAATAATCTGTGTTTAAAACAAACAAACAACAACAACAACAAAAGGATAAACTGGGCACAAACTCATGCCTGTAATCCTAGCTACTCAGGAGGCAGAGATCAGGAGGATCAAGGTTTGAGGCCAGCCCAGGCAAATAGTCTTCGAGAACCTATCTCAAAATACTCAACACAAAAAAGGGCTGGTGGAGTGACTCAGAAGTAGAGCTTCTGCTATGTAAGCATAAAGTCCTGAGTTCAAACCCCAGCCTCCCACTAAAAGGATAGATGGGCTGGAGGCACATATACAAAAAGGATACAAACTGTATTACTATATTTAAGTAACATGTCTTGCAGTGATAAAGTTTTGGAGCTGAAGATCAGATCAGGGCGGCTGGGGGTTAGAGATGGGTGAGGATGCAGATGACTTGCGGATTCTTTCAGTGTTAAGACTGTTCAGTTTCTTGAGCATTGTGGTGGATGCAGAAACCAGGTATGACAAATTTGAACAGAAATCAATGTACCCACAAATGGGCATAAGAAAAGGTGGGAGCCGGTCAGTGTTGGCTCATACCTGTAATCCTAGTTACTTGGGAAACTGAGATCAGGAGGATTGCAGTTCAAGACCATTCTGGGCAAACAGTTCATGAGACCCTCATCTCCAAAATAACTAGAGCAAAATGGACTGGAGTGGCTCAAGTGGTAGAGTGACTGCTTTGCAAGTGTGAAGCTCTGAGTTCAAACCCTAGTTCCACCAAAAAAAAAGTATGACACCTGAAAATGATCAATGAGATTGTGTCAATGTCAATATCCTGGTTGTAGCAAAACAGGGATGGCAACAGACATCTGAACCCCAGTGTCCAAAGCAGCATTATTTACAGTGGCCAAAGGCAGAAATGACCCGAGTGGACGTGAACTCAACATGGAATGTACATGCAATGGATTACTATTCAGCCTCAACAAGAAACAAAGTTCAGACACATTCTGCAATGTAGACTAACCTGGAATAGCCAGACACAGATGACCACCAATTGTATAACTTCATTTACAGGAAGCCTCCAGTCCTGCCCTGAGTTCAATCCCCAGTAAGACCCTCTTATAGAGCTTTTGCTAGGGTTTGAATACGTCCCCCCAAAAGTAGGTGTTGGAAGTGTTTAGGCTATGCGGCCCCACCATCATGAATGGATTAATACCGATTATAAAAGGGCTTGAGGCTGCAAGTTTCATCTCTCTCCCTCTCTCCCTCCCTCCCCTTCTTCTACCATGGGTTGACTTAGCAAGAAGACCCTTGTCAGAAGCAGTAGGGCTGGGTTACTGGCACACGCCAGTAATCCTAGCTACTCAGGAGGCAACAATCAGGAGGATTGAGGTTTGGGGCCTGTCTGGGGAAGTTCATGGCACCCCGTTTCAACCAATGAAAGCTGAGTGTGAGAGGCCTGGCCAGAGAGAACTCTTCAAGGTCACCTCAAGTGCTGGTTCTCCCTGCAGTCGTTTTTGGTGATTCCTTGGTCCTGGACAGTCAGTTAGCCAGCTAGCCAGCCACACTCCTCACTCAGCCTTGTAGCTACAGCTCCTAGGATGCGCCGGGGTCCAGAGCTGCTCAGAGACCCTCCTCTCCCAGCTTCAGGCCCAACTGGAAGCATGGATGGAGCACAGAGCCTGCACCCTCGTTACCAGCAGCCTCAAGGGAGCTTGCTTAATAGCCCACCGCCCGCAGATTCAAGCCACTGGCCAGAACGGACAGTAAGCAAGGAGCCTAAAGAAGGAGACATCCCCCGTCCTTTTTTTTTTTTTTCCCTCCAGAGTGGGTGACTGGGGAAACCCCGTGCACACCCCTGCGTGTCGTTGGAACACAGAGGACCTGGAGCCCAAGAATGCTGAGCAAGGCCTGGAGTGGACCACGTGCCTCCCACACCCTCCTCCTACGTTCCTTTTCTGGGGATGGGGAGGAGGGTTATGCTTAGTGTAATCTGTAACGATTCTGAGTGTCAAGCCCTGCATCCCTGCTACCTAGTGACTCAGACTGTGGGCTCGAAAGTCCAGGTTCGAATTCATCTTCCCTACTCTAAGAGTTACTTGGCCTTTATTTTCCTATCTGTAAAATGGGGATAATGGTGAAACTAGCGTCTAGGAAGAAAGGCTCGCTCCATAAACGAAGTTAACGGTTCCTATTTTTGACTCAAGGCACAAGACGAGGGCCCGGGACAGTCCCTGCTGGTACAGAAGGGCCGCGGGAAGACCCCGTTTATTCCCACAAGAGCCGCAGCCGGAACGCGCGTCCGCCCCCGGTGCGTCCGGTCCGCGTCTGGTCTCGGGGTGGCTCAGCCCCGACGCCCCCGCTTCCTGCCCGGCCCGCCTAATCCGCTCCGAACTCGTAGTCATAGGTATAGTCGTCGTCGTCGTCGTCGTCGTGGTCGTCGCCGCCGTTCTCCTCCGGGTCCAGCGAGCGGAAAGGACTGGGCCGGTGGGAGGAGCGCAGGGCGGGGGACGGCGAGCGGTGCGCGGCGAAGGAACCGAAATACTCGGCGGCGAAGGTGACCACGTCTTGGGGCTGGCGCAGCAGCAGGAAGAGCAGGAAGTCCGACACCAGCGCCTGGGCCTCGGGGTGTTGCCGCAGGTAGCGGGTGTGGCTGAGGCGGTACTCCTCCTGGCGGGGCACGGGGTGGTCCTGAGCCCTCGCCGGGGACCCCGAGGTCCCCAGGGGTGCGCATTTCAGTCGGGCACAGAGACAGCAGTAACCGGGAAATAATGGGCGCCCCAGGCCGGCTGCAGCCGCGTCTCACCTTCCGCTCCAGGAACCTGGAGTAGAGCTCCATGTCCTCCTCCCACAGCAGGGGCTTCTTCTCAAACGTGGGTGGAGGCTCAGTCTCATCTGGGTGAAGGGAGTCAGGCCGCTTACCCCACCCCACGGTCTTCCCCCACCCCACGATCTTCCCCCACCCCACGATCTTTCTCCGTGGGATCCCGGGACAGCCAAGGAGAAGGTTGAGTTCAGACCCCCCGGATTTTGCCCAAGGTGGAGAGTTGCCTCAAGGGGTCCTCGCAAGAGGTCTGACCCAACTGCCGTGGGTCAGGTGCAGGAAGGCAGTTTCCCATCTGATTCCAGGCTCCTGACCCATTTGTAGCACAGTGGTCCTGTGCAAACCCCGGAAGGCCCCAGGTTTCACCCACTTCCCCTTTCCTCTCCCACCAGCTGGGCCTCAGGCTTGGGCTGACTCACCCTTTTCCCTCAAGACTGGCATTTTGGTGATAATACAGCACCCTGAGGAGCCCACCTGGATTCTCTTAGCCAGGTGCCTGGAGTGCAATGCAGAAGGGAGAGTGAGTCTTCCAGACCCCTGGTAGGAACTGATTGTGCCAAGCACAATGAGTTGTACCTCAAACCCCTGTTGTTGATGGGATTTGGGAGATAGGGCCTTTAAGAAGGTGATTAAAGGGCTGGTGGATTAAGGTGATTAAGTGGATAGAGCACCTGCCTAGCAAATGCTGCAAAAGAAAACAAAAATTTCAAGAATGTGATTAAGGTTAAATGAGGTCATAAGCGTGGGCCTAATTAGTTAGATTGGTGTCCTTCCTTATGGGAAGATAGGCCAGAGAGCTGTCGAAATCTACTTGCATATAGAAAAAAGGGCATAGCCAAAAGGGGCCATCTATAAGCCAGGATGAGAGGCCTCATCAGAAACCAACCCTGTGCTGGGTGCTGGTGGCTCACACCTGTAATCCTAGTTACTCAGAAGGCAGAGATCAAGAGGATCACGATTCAAAGCCAGCCAGAGTATCTCAAAAAAACCCATCACCAAAAAGGGTTGGTGGAGTGGCTAAAGGTGTAGGCCCTGAGTTCAAATCCCAGCACTGCAAAACAAAACAAAAACCCTGCTGGCACCTTGACCTTGGCTTTCTAGCCTCCACAATTGTGAAGAAGCAAACTTCTGTTTGCTTTTGTTATTTAAGCCACCCAGCCTGTAGTATTTTGTTATGGTAGCTGAGCTGACTAAGATATAACAACCTTAGTTGTCCCTTTTGAGAGCCACCCTGGGAACCTCTGTTTATTTGCCTCTCATCTTTTGAGTTCCTGGGTCATATTCCACATAATGGCACAGGGCTTGACAAGTAGCAGGCCCCTGCTTAGAAAAAATTTTAAAAAAAAAAAAATGCCTGCAATCCCAGCACTCAGGCGGAGAGGCAGGAGGATTGTAAGTTTGGGGCCATTTGGGCTACATGGTGAAACCCTTCCTTCAAAATAAATAAATAAAAGCAAATATCAACTCTTTGTGGCCAAGACCAGCTTGACTCCACTTTGTCCCACCCTATCGTTGAGCACGATCCGTGGACGTGACACTCCCCCCACCCCCTGCCCATCAGTGCTCACCCATCAGAGAGCAAGTAGAACTGCCAGGACGAGGGGATGCCCTCATCCGACTGTACAGCCTGCTCCACGATGAACACTTCGGCCTCCTGGTGGCCCACCTGGATCGTCTGGAAGCCCAGGGCTTGCTGTAGAAGCCAAATCGGACAGAGGGTGCTAAGCTGCATGTCCACCAAGGTCTCGGCCCCCTCCCTCTGGCCCTGTCCTCACACCTTCATCCCTTGTTCATCAGTGATAAGCAATCCTTGACTGTTCAGTCCCTCAGGAGCCATAAAATTTGAGCTGCACCCCCACGTTCAGTTGGGGCCCCTTATAGAGAGCCAGCTACAGCTTGTCCCTGTCCACCCCCAAGCCATCCTAACAACCAGTGCTTCTAGTGGGCAGATTCCATTATAGGGACTAGTATGGGGAGACAACTGGGGACGGGGGCTACTGGGCCCAGTTGTGGGAGGTAGCAAGAGTCTGAGGGGTGAGACTCAACTGAGATTTGTGGTGGTCTCAGGCTCGTGCCATTGTTGCAGTGAAAATTTAACCCCTGTTCATGGCTGTCGCCACACAGAGCTAATATTCAACAGGTGTCTGAAGAAAGAGGGAGCTGGCTGTGCAGCTTATTGTGTTTGTGAAGGACAAGTCTAGAATGTAGGTTACAAAGTCAAAGATGAATCAGCCCCCACGTGTCTTACTGGGATTATTGAGTGTTCAAAGGTAAATCTCTGAAGCACATGGTGCAGGAGATCCTAGGAATGGTACCACATTTTATCCAAAATAAACAAAAATGAACTCCCTTCAGGAGTGGCATTTGAATTTCCCATAGTGAAACGATGATACATCTTTGGGCTGGGTATGTAGCTCAGTGGCAGAGCACTTGCTTAGCATGTGCAAGGCCCCGGATAATGTGTCTTTAAGACAGCCATTCACTGTATTTTCTTCCCACTACATTTTTCATGGACTGACTGATGCTAAATGCGTTGTCTCCCTTAACTGCCCCCACCTTTTGATCCGTCTCACTAATTTCACCTGGACACATTTAATCCTTTCTCTGACCATCCAGTTCTTGCTTTCTCCTGTCCTAGGCTGTCTCACTGTCATCCTCCTGATTTATCCCCACCTTATTCGCGCTTCCACTCCAAAGCTATCTTCTCTCCCATCTCAGTACCCTTCGTGTCCCCTCCAGTTTGTCCCCAGACCACGTCCCCTGCACAGGGAGACCCCTCACATAGGTGCAATAGCCGAGTTTGCCCTCAATGTCGAAGGCCAGGAAGCGGGCATCACTGGGTACTGTCCGGCGCCAGGCCATCACTCTCAGCAGCACCAGGTTGGCAGCTTCAGAGAGGAAGCCCGCAGTTGAGTGCCAGGAGAATACAGACGTGCTAGTCTTCATTTCCTTTCAGGACAGATGAGAGTCAGGGACCTGGAGCCAGGAAGGGGCCTAGAGGGTGGGCAAGCAGGGTGTGGGACATGGGTCCTTGGGCAGTCCTTGGTCTAGGCTCCTGGCCCTGCTTATGGTTCTGAGGAGGTTGTGGAGAATGGTTCAAACTCAGTTCTCGGCCTTACCTCACCCTCCCTGACGCTCCTGGTCACGACCAGCTGCTCGTCCTTCTTCAGCAAGCTTGTCTTCCGTTCCATGGGGAGGACGAAGAACTAAGGGCCAGCGCATGAATCGGGGATCAGGGACTTGTTCCCTACACTGCTACCAGGTCACCTGCTCATTCTTCTTCATAAAGGAAAAACTGAGGCTTAACTTTTTGATGTTAAAACGGATGAAGAAAGCCTTCATATGTAGACAAGCTCAGGATTAGCTGTTGTGGTGTGGAGGACAATAAGGCTAAGCTGTGCGCTTCACAGCATGGGTTTAAAACTTGGGAATGAGCTGGGTATGGTGGTGCATGTCTGTGATCCCAGCACTCAGGAGGCTGAGGCAGGAGGCCAGAGGCCAGCCTGGTCTATACAGTATTACCTTGTCTCAAGACAAACAAACAAAACCCCAGAAAACAAAAACAGCCACTGAAACTTGGGAACAGACTCTATGGGAAGGCTGTAAGCACAAACCATTTCCAATGTGTTGACAGTTCACAGCCACATGACCGTGAAGTTAGTGAAGTGGCTGGGACTGGGGCGAGGGACACAGAAGAGTTTGGAGGCCAAATGGTGACAGGTCAAGGGCAAAGGCTAGCCCACATGGCCCCAGGGAGTCCCCTGGCTCTCAGGCTGGAGGACCGGGTAGGCCAGGTGTCCTGGATGGAGTGTTCTGGAGTTGTATGTGGGTGGGGGTGGCAGACCCATAGCAGGTACCTTGATGAATTCTTGACTGTGTTGTTCCATGAGCTCCAATTTTCTGGAGACATAGCCTGGCGTACAGGGAGGCAAACACTGATGTCACAGGAGACACAGGTCTGACATGGAAGGAAGGGAGGGTAGTGACCCAGGCTTGAAGACTAGGTGTGATATGGCCACTGAAAAACTACACAGTGGGTCAGAGCTATACTTGTCCTTGTCTGTGGCCATGAGTGACCTCCCTGGTCCCCTTCCCTGTGCCTCATACTGGCCCAAGACAAGTGAAGGGCTAGGTCCTGAGTAATGATCGGGGGAGGGGAGGGCGGGGCAGGGAGGAGGGGAGAGGAACACTGTGACAGGCAGTGGGCAGCAGGCAGCAGGGACTCTACCCAGGAGGGAGTTTCCGCTGAGCGTTTTGTCCAGGAAGCCTCGGCTAAAGGCGTGCACAATGAGGCAGTGAGACATGATACCCAGTTCATCCTTATACTTCCCTGTCTGCACCTCAATGGTCAGCTCTCCCTGAGGCTCCCCGGAGTCCGAGACAATGGCCAGGGTCTCAGAGAAGAACAGCATTTGCAGCTCCTCCTCAGCTGGGGTAGGGCAAGGAAGCTGGATCAGCCCCGGCTCCAGGCCCAGCACTCTGAACCGGACACCAGCCGCCCTCCCATGACTTGCATCTCTAAGCTGGCTCTGCCTCCCCCTCCTTGGAATTAGCAAATAAGGACCGACCCTCTTCCCTATCCCTTCAAAGAACATCAACAGATATGGGCCAGTCTAGGCTTTCTGTTTTGTTTCCTCCCTAGGCCTGCACTTTCCTCTCCATGCTGTCTGGACTCACTGAGGGAGTTGAGGAAGTCAATGGCCTCAGCATTGGCCTTTGGGAGTGGCTGAAGCTCCCGGACTGGGGACTGTTGGTCCTTGGCTTTGAGGCCTACAGAGAGAGGAGAGGCTAAGACAACAGACCCTGGGGAGAAGGCAGGGGATGGGGGCAGGAGCACTCCAGTCCTGGCCAATTCCGAAGAGTTCAATCTGCCAAGACCACCCCACCCACCAAGTAGGTTATGAGGGAGAAGAGCTCCCCACCCCTTTCCAGAACAGTAGCCCCCTTTCCCACCTGTGGAGTAACTTTTGGAAGACATGTCTTCAGCTAGGCAGTCTGTATCCAGCTGTCTCCATGACGACAGGAAGCTAGCCACTGCCTCTTAAAGGGCTATCAACCCACTTCACTTCACCCAGACCTTGGAGCTAAATCCTGACAGCAGGTTCTGGGTCTCAGCCCAAGCCTGAGATGTTGTCCAGCAGGGAGCGCATTTGCCATTCTTAAGAGGCTGGGGAAGAACTGAGTCATTAGAATGACCCTAGAACTCACAGCTTATGCTTGGCATGGTGGTCACACCTGTAATCTCAAAACTTGGGAGGCTAAGGCAGAAGGGTCATGAGTTTGAGGCTAGCCTCGGCTATCTATCAAGACCCTGTCTTAGAAAAGGAAAGAAAAAAAAAAAGCCCTGGTCCAGGGTCACGCATAACCTCACAGGCATAGAATCCAACTTGATGTTGCCAGCTGGAGTACTAAAATGGATGGTCCCCAGTTTACAATGGCTCAACTTGCCATGTTTGACTTTATGATGGTGGCAAAGCCATGTGCATCCAGAGGAAAGCATATCGCAGTTCCTGGGCCAGTGATGCAGCATGTGACCATCTGCAGCCAGCCACAGCTCCTAGTCAGCCCAGTGACTGTGCAGGAGGAACGACTTATACTCTACAGAGGACTGTGCTGCTCAGCTGTGATGCTTGATAGGTTAGGTGTGCATTTTCAACTTACAATTGTCAATTTAGGATGGGTTTATTGGAATGTAACCCCACCGCAAGCAACAATAATAGTGACAGCAATTATAGTCATAACAAACCCTTAGAGCATTGTTTTTGTTTTTGTTTTTTTTTCTTTTTTATGGTACTGAGTTTGAACTCAGGGCCTCCTACTTGTTAGGCAGCCACTCTACCCCTTGAGGTATGCCTGTAGCCCTTTTTGCTTTAGTTATTTTTCAAATAGGGTCTCACTTTTATGCCTGGGGCCAGCCTGGACCGGCATCCTCCTAGTCACACTTCCCAGGTAGCTGGGATGACAGGCATGCCCTGCCATGCCAGCTTTTATTGGATGAGATGAGTCTCCAGAAGTTTTTGTCGGAGATGTCCAACATCCTCTGATCTCCACCTCCTGATAGTTAGGATTACGGGTGTGATCCTGTTTGGCCACCTCACCTGGCCAAAACGTTGGTCTTACGATGTTGTTATTTTGTTTTGATTCTATTTATTGTTTTTTGAGACAGTGTGTTGCTATTATGAATCCAAGGCTGACCTTGAACTTTTGATTCTCTTGCCTTAGCCTCCTAAGTGCTAGGATTACAGTTATATACCACTACACCTGGTGAGATTCTAATTTAAATCGGGCAGTTGGTTTTGACTTATAATTTTGTTAATGCCATGTGGGATTGTAATTATAACATTAAAGATAAGAAACAAGGAGTTGAGTGTACTGGTATACATCTGTAGTTCCAGCACTCAGGAGGTTCACGTGGAAGGAACAAAAGTCAAGGCCAGGCTGGAGGCATGGCTCAAATGGTAGAGTGATGGTCTAAGAAGTGTGAAGCCATGAGTCCTACCAAAAAAAAAAAAAGAGTTCAAGACCAGCTTCAGCTACATAGCAAACCAAGTTCGAGGCCAGTCTGAGCTCAAGCAAGACCCCAAATGAAAGAAAAAGAAAAGAAAACAAAAACATTCAAAGACCTGAAGATTTACTATATTTACGTTTATTAATTTTGTTTTGTTAGTACTGGGGTTTGAACCCAGGGCCTCACTCTTGTTAGGCAGGCACTCTACCACTTGAGCTACTCCACCATCTCTTTTGTGAAGGGCTTTTTTGAGATAGGGTCTCGTGAACTATTTACCCAGGATGGCTTCATACCACATCCGCTCTCTGCCTCTCAAATAGCTAGGAATACAGGAGTGAGCCACTGGTAACCAACTTCATTTTTTTTTTTATTAAAAATTTTTATTTTGCGGTGCTGGGGACTGAACCCAGCACCTCATACATGCTAGGCAAGTACTCTACTGCTGTGTTACACCCAGCCATGAAAAATTAATTTTTAAAGCCAATGTGAATTCTCAGTCACCCTTTCTCTGTACATAAGTCACTGTGAGTGGATTAAGAAAACTCGAAGATGCTTTGGAAAGTAGTTTGGTGTTTCCTCAAAACATCAAATGTACAGCAGCTGGGTATGGTGGCAAATGCCTGTAATCCTAGCACTCGAAAGACTGAGGTAGGAAGATTGTGAGTTCGAAGCCATCCTGGGCTACACAGCAAGACCCTGTTTCAAAATTTAAAAAGTTAAATGTGGAGTTACTATATGCTAAACAATTCCACTCCTAGGTAGATACCCAAGAGAACTGAATACACAGGTCCACCCAAAAACTTGCACACAAATAATCATAGCATTGTTTATAACAGCCAAAGAATAGAAACAACCTAACTGACCAGTAATTTCCATACAATGGAAATTGTTTGACTACACAAAGGATAACAGTAGTTTTGCTTTTTTTCTTTTTCTTGAGATGAAGTCCTGCTATGTTGTCCAGGCTGGCCTCCAACTCCTGAGTTGCTGACTCCCAGCTTGTGCCACTGTGCCCAGCTAGAAATGAAATAGTAATGACTACATGAATGAGACTTGAAAACATTGAGCAAAAGAAACTAGTCACAAAGACCACATATGATTCCATCTGTATGCAATGTCCGAAACAGGCAAATCTGTGGAGACAAAGTAATTAGTGGTTGCCTGGTGTCGGGGTGGTGGGGCGTGGAGGCAAGGAGTGATGTCAAATAGCCTCAGGGTTTCTTTCTGGAATAAGGAAAATGTTCTAAAATTAGATTGTGGTGATGGTCATAAAACTGTATATACTAAAAACTACGGAGTTGTATAAAAGGGTGAAGTTTGTGTTGAGTGAATTATAGCTCAATAAAACTATTCATAAAAAAATACAGGATTAAACTGAAAGCAAAAAATAAAACACAAGGGCTGGGGATGTGGGGATGTAGCTTAGTGGTGCACCCTTCCTGGGTTCCATCCCCAGCACCACACACATACACACACACACACACACACACACACACACACACACACACACACACACATGGGGCGGGGGGGGGGGGGGGGCGGAGGATGGGGAGAGGGAGAGATGCACAGATGCACACATGTCCTATTCTTTCACCTTCTCCTCCCCTGCTGTTTTCCAGGACTCCTGGCCTGTGGGAAATTGACTTTCCTGGTCCTCTGCCCTTTGCACTTTCTCCCCTCCTCTTCTGCTGCTGGTTGGGCAGGCCCCTCTAGCTGCATAGGGCCTCCACTCCCCCACACCCGCCTGTCCTCACAGGCTCCTCACATTCCAGGGCCCATGTTTTCTACTCTCTTATCTCTCCTCACCCCAAATTTTTTTCTCCTTGATTCTGGCTGTTTCCTGGCTGCTAGTGTCAGAAAGAGTTTGTCCAAGTAGCTTGCAGAAGGACTGACATACAGTTTGCTAGTTTGTGTGTGTGTGTGTGTGTGGTGGTGGTTGTGGTGCTGGGATGGAACCCGGGGCCTCAAGCATGCTGGGTCATAGTTTGCTCTTTCTGAAATGTCTTGTGAGCTCTATTAAGGAGCGCAGGCAGTGCTCCTTAGGCCAGGGCAAGCACATGCTGGAGAAGGCTAGCGGGATGGAGCTGGGTGGGTTGGCCTCTCTCTGCTGTGTGACAGACAGGCTCTGGCTGCTGCCATCTGGCACCTACTCACCAACAACTACCAACCTAGTGAGTGTTCACATAGTGGGGAATCAGGCATGGTGTACCCAACTATAATCCCAGCACTGGGATTACATGCTGAATGCTATAGGTATTAACATATTGAGTCTCACAATAAGCTTGTAAGGTAGGTACCATTATCATCCTCATTTGACAGATGAGAAACTCAGGTGCAGAAAGATGAAGTGACCTTCCCAGTCCATACACAGAAAGTGTGGGCCCTAGCCCAGATGGGGCCTCCAAAGTCCCTGATCTTAAATACTTTCTATTGCCCTGGTGGGCTGTCCTGTGATTAATAAGTCAGAGGAAGAGGACACTACTTTTCAAGTGAATGCCTCTGTGCATCTCATTTAGTTCCTGCCACTCCAGAATGAGGTTCAGTGACAAAGAGTCACCCGTCCAGTGTTGCAGGAGGCCAGGCAGAACCTAACTTTGTATCTGGATCGTCCAACTTCAAGTCCTCTTTTTCCCACTTGGTCCCACAGTTGCCCTGAGGCTGGGGCTTATGAGCCATCAGTATGAGGCTCCTACCTGCTTTCAAAGCCTCCATCAGTGGCAGGGCTCTGGAGGCCTAACCTATCCTGAGCACACATGCCACACAGGGCTTTCACCTTTTCTACACCTTCCCCTCTCTGTTCTGCTCTGGAATGCTTAAGGCTGCCTACTTTCCCTGCTCCCTTCTCCTTTTCTATTCTCAAAGACAAATAGCCTGTAAACCAGGAAAAAAAAAGCAAACCAAAAATGCACTGTTTGCTGGTTATTTTTTAAACTACGTATTATTCAAACCCCTCTGAGGCCATGTCCACCTCCATTTCTTCCGTGTAATTAATCATAGTGCCAGAAATGTGATGTAGCATTTTTCAAAGTGGCTTCATATGCCTCTTCCCTGCTTGGTGAAGATTTATGATTTTGCTGTGTGGCATCATTTCAGGACCCCTGTTCCTTTAGGGACCACCCCCCACCCCTTTCAGTTCGGTGTGGTTCAGTTGGGATTCATACAGCTCGTCCAGGTGTGGTCATATGACCTGACCAGACCAATTAGAGAACCCCATTCCCCTAACCCCTATGATTGGTTCAGGGTTGGGCACATGACCCAAGGTAGACCAAAGAAACTCCATCCCTGAACTGCAGGAAGTTCTGTTAGGTCTAGTGCACTAGTAGCCTATTAGGCTGCAACTTCTAGAGACCATCTTGCCACTGCAGTGGGAAAATCTGTCAAAGAATAATACCATACACACACAAACAACAAAACAAAACAACAAAAACAGAGCTCAACGAAGATCCTCTTTGAATCCCTGGATCCATCCCTGCCTGAAGCCACCATGATGTAACTCTGTACTTTTCAATTTCATGGGTGCTACCCAAACAGGATGCTGTTCATCTCACAGGCTCTCCTTTTGTTTTAAGTTACTTTGTGTTGAGTATTTGTCACATGTACCTAAAAGGATTCTGAGTTAGGTATGGTGGTTCAAACTTGTTATCCTAGCTACTTGGGAGGTAGAGTTCAGAAAGATCATTGTTCAAGGCCAGCCAGGGCAAAAAGTTACAGATACCTCATCTCAGCCAATGGTTCAGTGTGTGGGGTGCAACTGTCATCCCAGCTACAAGAGAAGGCATAAATAGGAGGCTGGCCCAGGCTGGCTGGGGCATAAAGTGAGACCCTATCTAAAAAATAACCAATACCAAAAGGGCTGGAAGCATGGCTCAAATGGTACTGCACCTGTGTGAGGCCCTAGTTCAATCTCTGTAGTACCAAGGGCCATTGACACCTGCTGTCCTGCAAGCAAAAACAAATGGTCTAGTTGTGACTGGGCAGTGCCATGGCGCTCTAGGAAATACACATTTTCATCCATTGTTCAGAACAGATGGCATAGCTGGATCATCCAAGGTCTGGGAAAATTCCTCACCAATGCTTCTCCTCTTCCTCGTTATTTTGAGACAGGCTCTTGCTATCTATGTGCCTTAGGCTAGCCTTGAACCTACAATTCTCCTTTTTTGTGTGTATGGTACTGGGGCTTGAACTCAGGGCCTTCACCTTGAGCCACTCCACCAGCCCTATTTTCGTGAAGAGTTTTTCGAGATAGGGTCTCTTGAACTATTTGCCCAGGCTGGTTTCCAACTGCAGTCCTCCTGAGTTAGGATTATAGGTATGAGCCACCGATGCCCGGCTACAATTCTCCTTCTTGAAGCTGATCATTCCTAGAGTGACCTGGTCCTGAGGCTCATCCACCAAGACAGCAGTGACCCAGACATCAGAGCACAGAACCTCCCTTCCTCAGGTAGGTGGAGACCATGGTCTATCTGCCATACCTAAGAGGGGAGGCTAAACTGTGGCCAGGAGGGAAAACCTTCCTAGGCTGGCCTGAGAAAGTATGCCACTGAGACTGCCATTGAGACTGCCATTGAGACAGTGCTTCCTGGACTTCAGCCGTACCAGGGCCATCTTTAGTTTTGCCACAGCCAAGTGTCACCTTCACTTTATATTTTCCCATTTCAATAAATGTCTTTAGTTACTTTCAGGAACTAAAAAGCAGTCTCACTTGTGGAAAATAAACATTGACCCCCAAAGATAAATACCAAAAAATCAAAACAGTATTGTTAAAGTTTAACTAGAGACAGATACTCAACTAAGGCATGGACCTGGAGTGTGCAAGTAAAAATAGGCTAGTGTCAAGGTCATGCCCGTCACTGCTGGGCTGTGACGATGTACGGCCCCTCCTCCCACTGCCCTTGGCCAGTGATAGACTGTGCACCTCAAGCTTTGGAAAACAACGAAATAAGCGCGTTGTAAACTGAACCAATTCGTGGGGGTCATGGAAGGAACATGTTTAGGGCGTCTGTTTTGACCAAAGCTATTCTTTTTTGGTGGGGTGTGGTGGTACTACAGATTGAACCCAGGGCTTTGTGCATGCGAGGCTGACCGAAGCTCTTAAAGAGCAGTGACCCCTGGTAAGGGAGGGGGTGGGGGCAGGGGGGAGAAATGAACCAAGCCTTGTATGAACATATGAATAAAAAAAAAAAAAAAAAAAGAGCAGTGACCCCAAGTTATGGGCCCTGGAGTGAAGTCAGAAAAACAGTGAGAAGGCCTCTGCTGTTTTCACTCATGCAGCAGTAAAGATAAGCCACTGAGTGATCAGACCTTGGTTAAATCATTCATTCATTAAACATTTATTGAGCGCCTACTGTGTGCCAGGCACCGTGCTAGGCGCAGAAATACAGAGATGCATAAGATACAGTCCATGCCCTTAAGGATTCACAGTCTAGAAGGGGAGACAAACATGTAAACAAGTAAAATACGGTGTGGTAAGTGGCACAAGAGAGAAGCATTTACAAAGTGCAGAGGTAGCCCAGAGGGGAGGGGCATGGGGTGCTTTCCTGGGGGAGGGGCCTGGGAGAGATGAACAGGTGTTTGCCAGGCAGAGGAGGCAGGAGTGGGAAGGCATTCTGGCCTGAAGAGACAGCATGAGCAAAGGCACAGAGGCGTGAAACTGCATTGTCTGGGGGCAGGGCACACTACTAGTCTGGAAGTATTGCTAGTGTGGGTTCCAGAGGCTGGAGCTGGAGAAGGCAGCAGAGGCCAGATGAGGAGGGAAACTGAGGGCAGGGGCATCTTAGAGGGTCACCAGACATGAGCAGAGCCCGAGGGAAGGCTCTGACAATAGGAAGACAAGGTTTCCGGCTGACCCCAGGTATGCCTGCTTGAGGATCACAGGGTTCCTCACTGTGGCCCCTAAGGGACCCAAGGCCAGAGGAGAGGCAGAGCTGGACGAGGGATGAGCAGAGGGGGAGTGCCCGGGCCTGGGCTTCTGGAAGCTGCAACTCGTTCAGACTTGACTTCTGATTTCTGTGCTCTGCTTCCAGGGCCCCTCTCCTGGCCAGGACGGGGCCCTGGATTCAGTTGGAAAAGCACATGGCAATGAATGTTCTTGGCAAACTGCAAAGAGCCAGATGAATGTCAGGGTGAACAACAATAAATCTTTAGTAACCCAAAGAGGAAAGAGATTGAGGATAAAGCAAGACAGATTAAGTTAGAGGAAGGCAGGCAGAAACTCCTAAGAACAAGGCCCAAAAGGAGACACTGCACTGGCTGAGGTGGACTGTGGCTCTCTCTCCCCTGGGAAGGCGGTCCTTGAGGCCCAGCCCAGAGGCAGAGGACAGTGTGCAGGCCCTGGGCAGATGTGGTTTTCAAGACTGTCAGGCTCTGTCCCAGCATCTGGGTTTTCCTCAGCCTGGGGCAGAGGCTTCCTTGGCAACCAGGACCCTCCCCCTTCTAGGCTGCAGGGAAGACACTCAGGCAGGGATTGGCCAGAGCCAAACCTCCAGCCCTTGGGTGTTCTTAAGAATGGCTCTGCCTGGAGAGGCTTTGGGGGTGGGGGGGTAGGGTGGAGGCCTTGGGAAGGAGAGAGGGACAAGAGAGCTTGGGGAGGGGAGCAGAGTCTCAGTCACCCAGAGTCTGGCTACCCTGTTGGTGACCACTTTCCTAAGGCACCATACCTTAGGCCACTTTAGGGGGTGAGTTTTCCCCCCAACTCTGGGTCAGGGAAGGTGGAAGATGGGCTCCACCTGGTCATGGCTCTTGTTGCCCTGGGTTCCAGGGCTATGGTAGGAGGGAGGCCTTCTGAGGGGGAGCTAACAGCAACCTTCATGTCCTTATTGCTGTCCCAGGAGAGGGGAAGGGAGGGAGACCCCCCCACCCCGCAGTTAGCAGGGTCAGAAATGTTCCTTTCCTGCACTCTGGGGCGGGGGTGGGATGTCTCCAAGCCTTCTATCTCCTCCTCCTCTCTGTCTCATAGTTTTGTCCCTCTCCTTGACCAGTGGGCGCGGTGCTGTTAGTGATGAGAAGGATAGCAAGGTGTGGGCAGTGGGTGGCTTCCACCGTGGGGGGAGGGCTGGGCTGGGGTGGGTGGGGACTGGGGACGTCACTTGCTCTTGTGTGTGTCTTTTAGCCGACGGAGCTCCTCTAGGAGCTGGGCCCGGGAGCAGCCATCATCCCCGGTGAGACCTGGGCCTGGCCCCAGTGCTTCCTGGAGTGCCAGGCAATGGGTCCTCAGGAATGGGTTGTAGGAGCGCTCCTCTCCCAGGGTGGACGGGCACTGCGAGGTGAGAGGCACTGGCTGGGTGAACAGAAGCTGGAAAAGGGACCCAACACAGGGAAGCCTGCCCAGCCACCCACCCTCTTGGGTTCTAAGAGTTCTGACTTGAACAGGCCAGAGCTCTGGGAGGCACCCACAGGCCAAGGCTTGGGAGACCAAATTGCCGGGCTGGGTGCCTGGCCCCAACCCTGTGTCCATACCGTGCTTTTGCGCTCCAGCCGCTGCCTCTGCACCCACTGCATCTTCCTCTCTCGGGCCAAGTTCTCTGGCTCCACCACGCCTGCGAAGCCCAGGTTCTCCTCTGCATACTCGTGACCTAGCCACAGCCAGGGGGATCAGGGTGGGGCAGAGCAGAGAGAGATGAGTGGTGTGGTCAGAAGAGGTACCCACCCCAGGCCTATAGGTTCCCCACTACCAGGGAGGAGGACAGGGCTCCCAGCAAAACCCCAACCACTCAGAGCTGCTTCTCAGCTGTGTGCACAAATCAGGCAGCGTGGAAGAAGCAGAGGTGGTTCAGGGGGAAAACCACTAGACTTGGAGCCAGGAGGCCACCATGTATTCCCAACTCTGCAACTGCCAAACATGTGACCTCAGTAAAGTCCTTGCACCTCTCTGACCCACAGTTTTCTCACATGGTAAGTGGAGAAAATAATAATACCATGGGACACAGATGTCTCTGCTGTGTTCCCAGTGTCTAGGACTGAGCCTGGTGTTAGGTAAAGTGTTTGTCAAATGAATGAATATATGTTCTGAGAGTTAACTGAGATATGTGGATTTTTAAAAATCAAATATAAAGTGATGGATATATGGAGAAGAGATTGACTATCTTCTCAGACAAGCAAAAGCTATATTCTGTTTTGGGCTCTGGTGATGAACAATTAGACATCTCTCTGGGACATTCCGAGGGCTGGCTGGTGGGAATAGTGGACTGAGTGGCAGAGGTGTCATAGAGACAACATGTACTCCAGAGGAAGAGAGGCTGGAGCCAGCTCCCACCCTAGAGGTGAAGCCATGTCACTTCTGGACCAGGAACTGGGTTGGCCTGGTCTCTGAGGTGTTGGGAGACCCTGGTGCCAGGCAGAGCCCGGAGCTGGGGAGAAGGGGGATGGTTGACTCACCAGGCCACAGAAGAGTATCATCCCCCAGACCCAGCACAGTGTCCAGCGAGCTCAGCATGGTTTCTGCAGTGCCCTCAAAGGTCCGTCCTAGGTGGGGGTTGGGGATGCAAAGAGGACACAGTATGATAAATAGTAAACAGAGACAGGTGGGGAACAGCATGGTCATCTTTGGCCTTCAACCATGCCCTGCCTGTCCATCCTCAGGCATCTGTTCCTTCCTTCCCATGGGAAGCTGGGCCCAATCAGTCATTCCCACCAACTGAGTGAGGCTCTATGCACAGGGGCTGTGGAGCCTTTAGGCTGAGCTCCCATGGTCTAGGCTTGGGAGGTAAGGCTGCTCTTTTCCAAGGAATGTTGCCTTTTGGGGTTATGCAGCCTGGACTTGGGGTCCTCGCCCACTCCTGGGGTCTCCCTTTCACTTAGGGTTCTCCAACTTTCCATGACCTAGTCCCACCAGTCACTCTCTTGGAGAATCAGGCCCCACCAAGAAACAAGTGCCCTGGGCAGGGTTAGGGGTGGTCTTTTCTTTGGGAAGTCCTAAAGACATAAAAACACAAGCAGGTGACACAGATGGGAGTGACTGCCGAGGTGCTCTCTGTGCTAAAACCAATGTTTTCATGCAAATGCAGGACTGTGTCTGCCTTGGCCTCTATCCCTCTCTCCTCTCCCCAACTCCCCACTCTTTTGGGGGAACTTACCGCAGCCAGAGAGGAAGAGGAGGTCCCCTGAGAAGAGGCAGGAGGGACCCTTGTAGGGCTCCCCATCAAGCAGGTAGACCAGATGGCCTTGTGTATGGCCAGGGGTGGCCAGGGCCCGTATCTGAAGCCGTCCCACGCTGACTACATCTTGATGACACAGGGGGCTGGGAGCAAAGCAACAAGGGGGAGAGGGGACTAGAGCTTGTGCCTCACTGGTCCTCCTCCAACTGGCTGGTGACTTGCTTCCACACCAGGGAGAAGGCACCAGTGCCGAGGTCTCATATCCAAAGCCTCCCTCTTCTTCCTCTGGGGACCAGGACCAGCCAGCTGGGGGCAGGCAGTGCCAGTCTTCATGTAGGCTTGAATCTGTTCTCTCGGAGTCAGCAAACACCTGCTGCTGATTTCCTGAAGCATTTAACTAAAGACCAAACAAACCCTAGCAAAGGGCCCACGGGAGGACCACCCATTCCTGGGTGAGGGACTTACTGGGTGAGGTAGGGGATGCCGTCCTGAGGGCTCCCGTACACACGACAGTCCCGGTGCCGCCGGCTGAGATCACGGTTCCCTCCACTGTGGTCCCTGCAGGACAGCAGAGGGCTTTGAGTGGCAACTGTACCTGGACCTTTCACAGAACATCTCCAGGCCATTGTTCGAGCTGTTTCCCTACTCAGAACGTCACCCTCCTCAACTTCCTACCCCGCCTGGCTGATGCTGACTGATGCTTCCAGACTCAGCTCCAGTCATCATCCTGGAATTCTCCCACAGATGGGAGAAGTACTCTCACCTGGTACTCCACATCCCCTATACCTGTGTCACCTGCCACCTAATGCTTATAAATACTTAGATCCTTTTATGAAGAGCTGTTTCCCCTATTAGGCTTACAGTTGCCTTGATGGCTGAGATCAAAGTTTGCCCGTGCCCAGCACACAGCAGGTATCTACTACATGCCCATGAATGGAAGCCCTCCTCTGAGACTTCCAAGTAGAGTAAATGTGGTGGTAGGGGACCCACCCCTTCTCTTCCACCTCTGCTGGTGCCCTAGAAATTTCAAAAGGAAGACAGAGCCTGCCCATCTTGACTTCCTGACTGCCTGGGATGATCCTAGGGCTCAGTGGACCAGGGAAGACTGTTGGCCCCCAGAGTCCCCCACGCCAGCCTCTTACCAGTGTTTGTGGGTGCAGAGTATGGCGACCAAGGTAACTCCCTCCTTTTCAATGGAAGCCTGGGGAGAGAGGAGGCACTGAGCCTGGGAGCTGGATGCAGGAGACAGAAGCAGAAAGAGAGGGTTGTGGGCTGGGGTGGGGGGTGGGCCGGAGAGGGCAGGGAGGAAGAAAGGAGAGGGAGGGATAGTGCTAAAGAATGAGACAGCTGGGGAAGGAAGTGGGGGCAGAGCAGACACCCAGCGTGGGGCACATGGAAAGAGGGTGGAAAGGAGGGAGAAGAGAGAGGGAGAAGGAAGCTCAGAGGAGGGCTGACGTGTACACACACACACACACACACACACACACAGAGAAATAAAGAATGAGAGGGATCTGGGGAGGTATAGGTGTAGCTCAGTGGTAAGTGCTTGCCTATCATGCTCAAGGTCCTAGGTTCTAACCCCAGCACTGCATGGAAAAAAAAGAATGAGAGGGAAAGATAGAGAGACCCAGGTACTGACAGAGATCAAAAAAGAAAGAAGGTCCAAACAGGGGATCAAGGAGAGTGAGAGACACCCTGGAAATTGACTAGACCCACAGTCCTGGGCAGCACTCTCCTCCACAGGCTCCGTACCCCCCCACTTCTAACCATGCCTGGGACACTCACTCCTCCCTCATGCCACGTTTGGGGGATTCCACGAGTGCACACACACATGGAGGTGCACATCCCACAGTCAGAGGAACCAGTGTCAGATCCTCTCTGTCAAGGGAAGCTTCCAGTCCCCAGAGGTAACTCCAGGTGTTCCCTTCCCCATCTCCCTTCACCTGCACAGCTCGAGGGTCTGAAGGGTCCACAGCCACAGCCAGCCGGGCCTGGGTGTCGATGATGAGGTAGCTGTAGTTGTCTGAGAGGACGGGGATCGGAAGCACCTTCACTCCTGCAGACACAGGCAGAGAGGGGGGATCTGGGGTGCTGTTAGGGTGCCCAGCAGGCGGGGTAGTGAAGGGGAGTGGGCAGGGAGTGAGGGTCTAGTTCGGAGTGCTGGCCAGGGATAGCAGAGCTCACCATTGAAGAGGCGGGGCTGGGTCTTGGAGTGGCCTTTGGGGTAGCGATTCCGAGCCCTGCGTAACTGCTGTCGGTAGAAGAGGTATCCGAGCCAGGTGCGGGTGTACAGGCTGTACCTGGAGGGCAGATGGTCTGGAGTCAGCTCCACCTCTGGCTCCCCGATACTCCTTCATGATGCCTGCAGGTCCCACCTCTCCACTCCCTCGCACCCCCCACCCCAAGTCAATGCACTTCCACCATCACTTATTGTATGCTTACTGTTTGCCTGCTCAGTACTCAGGACAAGATAGATGAGAGACAGGCCCAGAGCTCGCAGTCTGTCAGGACAGACTCAGGAGTGAGGACCTTATCCAGAGCTGAGCCCTTGAAGAAGTGGTGTTTATGGTGAGGGCAGAGAAGAGTTAGGAGGCTGATGCGAGGTAGGACAAACACTGCAGGAGCAGCAGTGGTGGCCAAAGTCTAGTACGATCAAATTGCCCCGGGACCTGTTAGGCAATCCCTGGGCTCTATCCCTAGAGTTTCCCACTCAGTAGATCCTGACTGGGGCCTAGGATTTTGGATTTCTAACAATGTCTAGATCCTGCTACTGCTGTTGGTCCAGGGACCACAATGTTGAGAGCCACTGGGATAGAGGACACAATAGGCAGAGGCCCAGGGGCAGCAGACAACGGGGCTTGTTTGGGTAAACTAGAAGGTTCTGTTTGGCTGTTTAGCAGATAGAGGAAGCACAAAGAGTAAGGCTGAATAGGCTCCCCGGCCATCATCCCAGCCCATCCAGGCTACATGGTGAAAAGGTGGCCCTGGAAACAGAGGGGATCAACGAGCTAGAGTCCTCCAAACACAGAATGCCAGGATGCAGTGTGTGATCTGTGCAGTCACCTAGGGCCCATTTTAAAATAGCTCTACTTGACTTATGCTCTGCTGTCACTCTCTTGAAATTCTTCAGGCTTTTACCTTTGAACTTGTGTCTTGTAAGTGGAGTCTGAGGGGACAATGGAATGAGATGCACATGACATATGCATCTGATCCTTGCTGCCCACACACCAGTGTTCAAGATGTCTGTGAGCACAGAATTCTGGGGGACCCTCTATACGTGGGAATTCGATAGGACCAGAGTGGACATAAGGTAAATTGTGCACCCACGATGAGTAAGGACTAGGGAGCTGACTGACCAGAGAGGCTAAGCTTTTAGTCAAACTAGAATTTGCTTCAAAAGCACCGAGAAAACAATGGCAATTTAAGAAACACAAATGACCAAGGAGCCCTACCATATCCCTTCCTGCTCTTGTTACTTCCTGGTATCATCTACCCATCTGCACTGCAGATGAAGCTAGAGAAGGGGAGGGATAGACGAGGTGACCAGTTTGTCCTATTCCATGAAGTCCTTTATTACTCTTCGGAAAGTCACCCCTGCTGGTAGAATGTGTGTAGTAAAGAGTGCAAAGGGGCTAGGTCCCGGGAGCCCACACCTGTAGTCCTAGCTACTGGGAGGTTGAAATTGGGAGGATCATGATTCAAGGTCAGCCAGAACAAATACTTCATGAGACCCCATCTCCAAAAGAAGAAGAAGAAGAAGTGAAAAGGGAACTTTGATGTTGCTCAGTGGCAGGCAATTACCTAGCTTGCGTGAGGCTCTGGGTTCCATTCCCAGGCAAGTTGCTGCGTGTGGCATTTTCACTGTTCTGGTGGGAACAGAATATATATCCATGTACAAGCTAAGAAATGGGTTATATAGGCTCAGTGATTCTGTGTAAGGATTAAATGTTCTTATGTTTGTATTTAAAACTGGCTTTTGTGCTAGGTGTGGTAGCCTGTGCCTATAGACCCAGTTACTAGGGAAACTGAGGCAGAAGGATGGCTTGAGCCCAGGAGTTTGAGGCCATCCTGGGCAACATAGTAAGAACCTGTCTTAAAAACAAACAAACAAACAAAAAACCTGGCATTAAGCTGGGCACCAGTGGCTCACGCCTGTAGTCCTAGCTACTCAGGAGGCAGAGATCAGGAAGATTGTGGTTCAAAGATTGTGGTTCAAAGACTATTTGCAAGCAAATAGTCTGCAAGACCACATCTCAAAAAAACCCATCACAGAAAAGGACTGGCAGAGTGGCTCAAGGTGTAGGCTCTGAGTTCAACCCCCAGTACAGCTAAAACAAAACAAACCTGGCATCACACAATATAAAAATGAGTGATAAAATTTTTGCTAATTTTTTTGGGCAGGACTGGCCTTTAAACACTGGACCTTCTATTTCCTAGGCAAGTGTTATACCACTTGAGCCACACTCCAGCCCTCCTGTAATTGTTTTAATTTTTAGTTCTACTTTATTTAGAATGGCATTAAATAGCAAGTTAAAAACATCACACGTCAAAAAGTGACCATAGAAGAAAGGAAATATTTAGTACCTATTTTTTTTTTTGCTTTCTTTTTTTTCTTTTTGAGACAGGATCTGACTATGTAGCCCAACCTGGCTTCAAAACTGTGATTCTCTTACCTCAGCTTCCCAAGTGCTGAGATTACACTGTGCACCTCCACATCCTGCTTATTTTAATAATATTAAAGGTAATTTTCTCACTCAAAGACTATTTGCAAGCAAATAGTCTGCAAGACCACATCTCAAAAAAACCCATCACAGAAAAGGACTGGCAGAGTGGCTCAAGGTGTAGGCTCTGAGTTCAACCCCCAGTACAGCTAAAACAAAACAAACCTGGCATCACACAATATAAAAATGAGTGATAAAATTTTTGCTAATTTTTTTGGGCAGGACTGGCCTTTAAACACTGGACCTTCTATTTCCTAGGCAAGTGTTATACCACTTGAGCCACACTCCAGCCCTCCTGTAATTGTTTTAATTTTTAGTTCTACTTTATTTAGAATGGCATTAAATAGCAAGTTAAAAACATCACACGTCAAAAAGTGACCATAGAAGAAAGGAAATATTTAGTACCTATTTTTTTTTTTTGCTTTCTTTTTTTTCTTTTTGAGACAGGGTCTGACTATGTAGCCCAACCTGGCTTCAAAACTGTGATTCTCTTACCTCAGCTTCCCAAGTGCTGAGATTACACTGTGCACCTCCACATCCTGCTTATTTTAATAATATTAAAGGTAATTTTCTCACTGAGAGTGGTGATTCAGGCCTGTAATTCCAGCTACTTGGGAGATAAAGATAAGAGGATCTTGGTTTGAGGCCAGCCTAGGCAAAAGTTACTAAGACACTGTCTCAAAAACAACCCAGGCATGGCGGTACACACCTGTAATCCCAAATACAGAAGTGGAGGTAGCAGAATCACGGTGTAAGGTCAGCCTGGGCAAAAGTGTGAGACCTTATCTAAAAACAAACAAAAGCAAAAAGAACTCGGAGCATGGCTCAAGTGGTAAAACAAGTGTGGGGCACTGAGTTCCATCTCCAGTGCCACACACATACAAAAAAGTTACTTTTTCCTGCTGTTTGAACAGGATCCTTACAAGGAAGGAGCTGTCTTGGGACTTTGCCTCACAGAAGAGAAACTGAGGCTGGGGCACGGATAAGGTGAGGGGGCAATCAGTGCATAGGGTTATATGTCAAACCAGGCAGAAAATGACAGGCATCCTGAGACAAAGAAGTTAATCTATAGGACTTTCTATGTGGAAGCAGAAGGAAGAGTGTGTGTTGTGGCGGGGTGGCCTCTTTTCGGGTCTAGATGATTTGTCGGCAAACAGTTTGGCTCAAACCAAATAGGTTTCTATGACATCTTTCTTTTTGAAAAGTCAAAAATCCCCTAATTTTTTATTCCTGGTGCTACTACAGAATTTACAGGGCAATCTACATAGTGTAATGAAAACAAAAAGAAACAGACAAAGCTCCAGCAGATGAAAGACCCCAGGCTTGTGCATCTAACTGACAGTACATAGCACTGACCAAAGCAGCACTTCTTGCTATGCTGGTCCTGAGCAAGAAGGGCTTCCTGGGTGAGCTGCAGTAACTTTTCTGGCTATGGATCACTGTTGCTTCTGTGGCAGATTTTTACACTTCCTCTAATGCATTTGGGAAGACTGTCTCAAAGTAACCTGCAGTGGACCGGGGGTGTAGCTCAAGTGGTAGAGCGCCTGCCTAGCAAGCACAAGGCCCTGAGTTCAAAACTTCAGTACCACCAAAATAAATGTGTATTCAAAATAACCTACAGCTTTCTTGACAACTCCTTGCTCTCTTTCCTGCTAAGAACAGTAGCCCTTTTTCTTCTGTTACCATATTTACCACTTCCACTACCAGATCCATAACCACCACTATAGGGATTGCCAGGGCTTCTTCCACCAAAACTGTCCCCCTTCATGGGTCCATAATTTGCTGTTATCTATTATAATTTACAAATCTTTACAGTTCCCACAAGCACCATAGTTACAGCCACCAAAATTCCTTCCTTCATTATAACCATCATAATGTCCTCCACCACCACCATGGTTCTCGTATCCTGGTCTACCATCAACATAGCCTCCTCTACCACTGTAAACAGAACTACCACCATAGTTGCCACCATCACTTCCAAATCCATTATATCCACCATCACCTCCTCCATAACTACCTCTGCCGCCACCACCTCCACCACCACAGCCTCCTCCCCCATCAGTTTCCACCATGGCCAAAATTACCTCCACCACCTCCAAGGTTTCCTCCATGACCCATGACCCTCCATGATCTACCTCTGTGACCTCTTTGTGATTTAGCTGAGCGCATCTCCTGTTTCAAAAGGGCCTTTCTCACTTCATAGTTATGTCTATTAATAGTGTGGTATTCCTCATCAGTTTTACCAACTGTGTCATGATCATCAAAAGCTACAAAAACAAATCCTTTCTTTGTTTCACTCTGCCTGGCTTCCATAACATCTATGGTTCCAATCTTGCCATACTTCTTAAAGTAGTCTCTCAAATTATATTCTTCTTATCTTCTTGAATAACACCACCAAAATTTTCCCTCACTACTAGATGGGCACAGGCTTTACAGAATCCCCTCTAGAAACAGGTCTCTTTGGTTCCACTATGTGCCCATCAACTGTGTGACTGAGCACAAGAGGAAGTCACAATACCAAAGCCCTGGGCTGGCGGAGTGGCTCAAGTGGTACTGCACCTGGCTAGCAAGTGCAAGGC